AGTTTATTTCAAAGTATTTTTGCTTATGGAGGCATATGTAATGTGTTTGATTGTACACGAAATCTAAATCTGTGTCCCTTCACGGCGTTTAAATCATTCTCATGGCATACGGTCATTAGCCCAGCATTCTACATGTCGGTAATCTGTCACTGCCAGTTCTAACCATTATTCAGTAAAAATGACTGCATACAACTCTTAATTAGTCACAAGGAAGAGTAAATTGCTAGTTTATTTTACAAACATGAATCCATGTTTATTTGCTCGGGGAACTTAATTATTGATCATTTCCTATGAGGGGACTTAGATAGCTAATCAGGTCGAATACTGGTGAAGATCTGAATGGTATGGTTTAGTGTTATCATACCATACTGGTTTGTGTTTCTCTGGAAGAAATAGAATGATCTGTAATGGTCAGCATGTGATGGGTCTTCCATATAATGTTCATTGAGGTAGCTACCAGTCACCAATATATGTATCATTTGGCAAATTTATGTGATTTAAAAAGTTTCTGAGAAAATGTTCACTTGATGATTTAGCAAAGATAACATCAAAACATACTTAAGCTGAGTGATATTTGTTCAGAAACTCTTTGTATTGATTTTAAATGAAAATTAATGAAAGTGAATCCCTCTTAAAATAAAAACTGATGTTTTATGAAAAATCCACATGACCAATCTGCATACTCAGCATAAAAATGTTTACAGGTAAAGTGTAATATTGCACATGCTGCATGCTCATGCTTTTTATGATGTCATATCACTGGTAGAATGCCAGTCCATTTTAGTTTATCGCTTTGATCAAGGTTGTCATTCATGAGGTAGGGTGGACATACTGATCATATTTTGCTTTTTAATGAAGTTCAATTAAGACTTTTTAGATATATATTTATATTTGCAAATTTGTCCTTATTTATGCCTGAAAAGGTTTCGGGCAACATTCATAAATGGAGGCATGTTTACCAAGGCTGAATTTCAACCAGTGGCCAATAACCATATATAGATATAAACATATTTGCTATGTAAGAATTGACCCTTGGGTGTGGCATACCTAAAGGGACACTATTTTTGGGTCATGTTTTTGATATAGTTGAGATACCAACCTGATAACCTTATAAACTCTTACTGGGAATCAAAGAAAAAGACAGTCATGATATAAGGATTTACTCATTGGTCTTTCACCGTTAAATAAGTCCAGTGACTAAGCTTTAATTTGGAAACATATGAAATACCTAACCTATGGGCATGTATAACATTGATGGGCTTTCAGATCCAGGTGAGTGGTACAGGCCCTATGGACATCTTGTTTAAATCCTGCTAATACTGGAGGGAATGATTGAATTTTAGCCAAATTTGGTCAGAAACGTGTTTTGGTAAAGGAAAATTAATTTTGTATAAATGGTGGATCTCGGCCCCCAGGGGTATGAGGGGCAGGGCTCAATATGGGAAATAGAAGAAATTCTTTAAAATCCTACTCCTAAAGGAATGATTGCCTTTTTGTCTAAATTTGCCCTATGGACATCTTGTTTTAAATCCTGCTAATACTGGAGGGAATGATTGAATTTTAGCCAAATTTGGTCTGAATCATGTTTTAGTAAAGGGTATCAATTTTGTATAAACCATGAATGTCAGCTCACTAGGGCAGGAGGGGCAGGGCCCAACAGGGGAAACAAATAAATTTTTAAAAATTTTATTCATGCGGTATGATTAGATAAATATTTTCCAAATTTAGTCTGAAGTATTCTTTGATGAAGCAGAATCAGCTTTGTATTAACATTTGATTGTGGCCCCCTAGGGTTGGAGAGGCAGGGTTCTATTGGGGAAATAGGGCAAATTCCTTAAAATCCTACTTATCTGTTAGGAATGATTAGATATTGCCCAAATTTGGTCTGAAGTATTCTTGGGTGAAGGGAAACAAAGTTTGTGTAAGAATTGGTTCTGAGGGGCCTTGGGCCTTGCTGAAGAGCTAAATAAGCCAGGTGAGTGAGGCAAGCCCCTTGGGCCTCTTGTTCTGTTCAGTTTTTAGCCCATCATGATCAGATGGTCCATCTGTAAACAACTTATAAACAACTTAAGATTTACTGAATGGATCTTCCTCAAATTTCATAAGTAGGTTCCCCTTGGTCCCTAGTTGTGTATGTGTGATTTTGGGACTGATCAGATAAACCAAATTGCTGACAGGTGGATTTTGCCTTGTTGGATATGTTATCACTATTTCTTGTGTTGCACTTTCGTATGTATGTTCTCCTTGGTCCTGAGTTATGCCTGTTTTTGGGACTGGTCAGAAAAACAACATTGCTGACAGTTTAAGATCATTAAGAGCAAAAACTGTAGAGAAAAGAACGAAAAAAAAAAACATTTCTAGATCAAATAAACATCAAACAATGGTGGATGCAAAGATCCCTCATGGACCCCTCGTTTTTAGTGAAAGTTTTTATGGTTGGATTTAAATGACACTTGCTTTTGATGGGCTGATAAACCCAACAATTCAAGACAAAAACGGTCATTGGTTGTGTTGAGGTATGTTTATTTCTGGACAGCTGTCATTTTCACACTTTGTGTTCCTAGTACATCCTATTTGTTTACACTGACAATCACATACACAATGTATGGATAAATATAGGTAAATTGTTCATTCATAGGACACACATTTTCATTCCCATAGATTTTAGATTTTTTTAGGTTTTATTATGTTATTTCCAAATATGCCTGCATTCAAAAAGTTTGCATGATCCTATCACAAGAAAATGTAAAGCATTTCCATTATCATAGTTATGTTATAGTGATAAGTAATGGAAAGCCATGTTCTGCCACAGCTGGGACTCTTACAAGTGATCTTTCACTTTCAATAGAAGCACTCGATTACTTGACTGAAGGAAAATTCCCTGTAGTCCAGACTTGTAAGGTTGATTATACTCTAGACTTCTTTACTACAGGGTTTTCCATAAGAGCCGGTCGCCGGCTAATTTGACTGGCTACTTTGATCATTTGGCCGCCTACACCAATCCAGTTCCGTAATAATGCTCCGTACACGTCTACATGTACACGGCAGGTCCGCCTCCTACTTTCACTACACAGCCTACTACTAACAAAATTATGGAAAACCCTGATACTAAGTGACAAAGAAATCGATCATGGGAATTTGTAGTTTATTGTTTTAGTAATAAGACAGCGAATGATCAATCTCGATCAATTGATCGAAACAGCATTCAGTTTCAATAATCCATAATTTGATATCAAAAGTGATGAAATTTGGTCTGTTACTTGTGTTATTATGTCTTATTTTGGGGCACCTATCATTTTCTTACCAGGAGTTCTAATAAAGTAATTACTTATACAGTATATGGATAAACATATGCAACCTATACTACAACAATAAGCCTATGTCAGCAAAGAAGCCCACAGAGATATGTTGAATTTATTTTCATAGTAATCTTACTAAAGTGCTTTTCATACTGAAGATCCTGCACTTAGTATAATATGGTCATTCTGTATGATTCATCATTGTGCCCATTGTTCAAAATTTATTTTGTGGTAAATTTTGATTGCATTAACATAAGCAGTATGTTATATATATCCCTAGGATTGGATTGGCATGGAATTTCGTCTCTTGTGTGGAGGCAGTGTGTTTGGCACACTTGGCTTATTGCAAGATGAATACTGTACTATGAACCCTAGTCAGACAAGTCACAACATATCAGCAGGTGATTATCTCATTAGAGACACCTTGAACAGGCATGTTCACAGCAGGTACAACGTACCTGTTATCAGGAAACCTACAAAAGTGAAAGTAGAATGCACTTCGTGGAAGTCGGGTCAGCAGGTTTTAGAGCTATTTTTAATGCTGATCTTATATATGTATTGTGTTTTACTGCGTATCAGACTGTGCCATACACTACAATTAAACATGTCAGTAAGTGGTCTGTCAATTGATTTGACAGACACAAGAGGGAGTGGTCTTTATTCCAGTCTCTAGTGATCGATATGACTGTCCTGTCCATCTGGTATATTGTCTAGTCATACTTGGTCTCTGGAAAGAACTAGCATACAGCATTACTCACAGGGTCCCTCGAGATCTGTCCAGGCAGGCATCATCTTTCTCATACTGTCATTCCAATGATCCTGATATAGATCCTATAGGGATATATACATAATATCTTACTTAAATTAAAGGATATTTGAATGGGATTATTACAGGGAAATGACAAAGTCTTTGTTTTTGTATTGGAATTTCTTGTTTGTTATTGGTAGTGAGTATCATTACCATTTCCAATTGAAGACTTCAAGTTTGAAAACTTACCAATTCAGGGATTTTGTTAGTTCTGAAATCTGGGTCACTTGGGTGTCTTAACCTACAGCAATTGTTAGCACTCTATGCAAACATTATGTAGACAATAACATCAAAATGTTGAACAATTGGTGACTACACGAAAACACAAACAGGAGTCTTCCAACGTCGATCGTGCCGTTCTTTTCAAAACAGCCAAACGTCATTAATGCATTAATAAGAAAGAAACACTGAAGGAGATCGTGTTTTGAGAGATCGTAACCTGGAACAGCTGGTCAAAAATTTCAAAAATGCAGTTACATAGCTGTGGAATATGTTTGTGTCACTCACTGCTCATCTTGGTATCTTAAATTGTTTTATTTATGTATTCATTGTGGTTTTACTAATTTTCTCAATATTCCCCCGTTTTGTCAGATCATTTTCCCAATTTTGATGATTGTAGTATTTGCCCTTAATACCTAGGATAGTCCCTGGATATAATATCATTTGTGTAAAGATGTTGGAGAGCTTATTAGCAGGCATGTGCATGGGCCTGTTATTGAACACATAAGGTAAAGATAATATTTTTATATCAAACATATTTGAAGTAATGTTTCTTTTCTGACTTAGGATTGGATAAAGACCATGCAAGATGGAAGCATTGCAAATTCTCAGTGATTTCGAACACAAAGTTTCAGCAAATCTTAGAGAAGAGTGATATTCTCTAAAAATTCAAAATGGCTAATCTAGGGAATAGAATGCATCAGCCAAAGCTTCATGGTATGTATGTAATTAACAAGGTCAAGGAACAGATGAGCAGCTAATACTGAATATAAACAGTCAATATTTATTTTATCAATTAAATTATTTGGTGGTATGTTTGTGATGAAAATTTCTCAACCATTGTTTATTATTGGGTTTAAAAATGAGTTAAATAGAGAATTGGAAAAGTGGGGAGAAGGTGGAATATCTGTTATAGTACTTAATTTGTTTTGTACAGTAAATCTCTTTTCACTTTTAGACAAATATAATCATAGGTTTTTGTCACATCACTTTAGGTCAAATTTAGTCAAATCATAGTTATATCATGTATTTATGACTCAGTGATAGTGATGTCATGTATTTATGACTTAGTGATAGTGATGTCATGTATTTATGACTCAGTGATAGTGATGTCATGTATTTGTGACTCAGTGATAGTGATGTCATGTATTTTTGACTCATTGATAGTGATGTCATGTATTTTTGACTCATTGATAGTGATGTCATGTATTTATGACTTAGTGATAGTGATGTCATGTATTTATGACTCAGTGATAGTGATGTCATGTATTTGTGACTCAGTGATAGTGATGTCATGTATTTATGACTCGGTGATAGTGATGTCATGTATTTGTGACACAGTGATAGTGATGTCATGTATTTATGACTTAGTGATAGTGATGTCATGTATTTATGACTCAGTGATAGTGATGTCATGTATTTATGACTCGGTGATAGTGATGTCATGTATTTATGACTTAGTGATAGTGATGTCATGTATTTGTGACTCAGTGATAGTGATGTCATGTATTTATGACTCAGTGATAGTGATGTCATGTATTTGTGACTCAGTGATAGTGATGTCATGTATTTTTGACTCATTGATAGTGATGTCATGTATTTTTGACTTAGTGATAGTGATGTCATCATGTATTTATGACTCGATGATATTTTTATCAGAGAGGGAAAAAACTGATCTTTCTTGGTAGTAGCACTGTAGTAGATTGGCGTTAATTCTTCAAAGTTAAAGTTCATGATTAGTGAGATCAATATGGTTCGAGATCTTCTCATAAGTGAACAATTGCGAAAAACCACATAAAACTTTTTGAACCATAGAAATTTATGATAAACCCTGTAAATCCCAAACCATTCAAAGTAAAAATATGTCTCATTTCTACTAGTGGGTAAAAACTTGTCTGTTCTATTTTACCAATGTCTTCTCTCATTTTGTTGTTCTTTTATTTCAGATGTGTTTCCAGAAATCCTAATTATGGAACACTTGAACCAGTTAAAGTCACATGCACAAAGCTGTGTGGACCAACAGATGTATCCACAAGCCTGTGGGATCTACTCTCAGATCATGGAAATAGTATCTCAGGTTCATTTTTTTTATGGTTGTTTCAAAAATATTTTGAGAATTGAATACAAAATGTTCATTTCCTGGTTAGCACATCAAAATACATTAGTATTTTAAAATGATATCACTGACTTAAATATTATTAAAATTTTACTGGAAATTTGGTGTTTGGTAGGAGGGAGACATAAATTGCTGTGAATTTTTGGTTAAAATTGACTATACGTGTACCAATTTCAGTGTATTTTGTTTAAAAATGACCAGACAAATAAAAACAGACGAGACATAAAATTGCATATAATTCTTGTAATTCAAATTTCACTACTTTCCATAGATGCCACAAGTCTGTCTTGAGGAATTACCCAAGGCACTTAGCAACCGGTCCCTGGTTTTGGCAAAGATGGGAGACTTCAGAGGGGCACTCGGTGATGCCAACAAATGTACAATCGAATTTCCTACTTGGACAAAGGTATTTGTCGCATGACTTAACATTGACAACACTATTTCACATTTGTTCAGCTTATAACTAAAAAAATTGCTTTTTCAAGCAGCTAAAATATTTATGAGACAAGTTTGTACTTACTTCTAACTGGATATCACATCATCCAGTCTCAATCCGAGTCCCTGTCCCGTCCTGTCCCGTCCCTCCCATCCCGTCCTATTAAAGAAGATGAATCACCAAATGGATCAAGTTCTTGATTGTATTACACTCTAAAAGACAAGTTTAGGACTTTTGAATTTTTTTTTTGTGAATCGAATGCTCCCACACACAAAGTGACTGGTTAATAGCAAGTTCATGATTGCTTATGATTTTGAATGTTGAAGTCTGATTTCATCGATTTTCAGGCACGATTTAATAGTGAAATTAGTTTCATGCATGAAATAGATAAATAAGTTAATGTTTAACAGGTGTATGTATCAAATCAAATATTGATAGGGACACTGGAGAGCAGCGATGGCTTTGAAAGGTTTGAAGGACAATTATGCTTCCCTGCAGCCTCTCAGGGATGGCTTCAACATGTGTATGCGCCTGGATCCAGAAGATAGGGAAACGGTCAACTTCATGGTGGAGACTATCATCACTACATGTTCTCTAAAAGGTAGGTTTTGACAATGTGATTGATAGGTTTTCAGTTTGTGTCGAGTAACTCAGCTGAGATTCAAGAAACTTTCAAAATTAAGACATCTTCTTGGGGTCTTGTGTGGATTCGTTGTCTCGATATCGGCCCAAATTTTTTATTTTTTTCCAGTGCCACATGTGAATATTTCATTCCTGTAATTTATTGGGAGTGTCTCAAAGACTGGAAAGGAAATTAAGCTCGAATAAGCTGAAGTGAAAGTTAGATGCTAATACAGCCTTCACAAGTTAACCAATATCGTCATCAAAACACCAAAACTATTGATATTATTCATTACAATTTCATGAATTATTTTATTCATTTGTGAAAAACCAAAAATAAATAAAATAGTTTATGAAATTGTATAAAAATAATATGAATATAAAGTTCTTTGAAAAAAGATTAAAGATTTTAAAAATCAGATTTGTCATTCTTTTTCAGATGACCCTGCGGAGTGGTTGAGTACCCTGTTAGTGCCTTACAGTTATCCTTCACTGATAACACGAGCTGTACAACAGTTAGCCAAGTCCAATCAGTGGGAAGGAACCAGTTTGTTAGTCCTGGGGATCCACTCTGGCCCCTCCTGTCCCTGGGAGGGGATTGCCAAGAACACTCCAACACACCATGTCATGGTTGCCTTTCTAGTCAAGAATATGTCCAGAAACACTCGTGATTTGAAGAAGTGGGGTCATAAACTATTGGTGATGTTGTGTAAGAATGGGGCATCTATTAGAGACATGGAAAAAGGTCTGGAGACACCTGCGATACACACAGGGCTACAAATGGCCTTGACGACTGGTAAGCACGCCATCTGCATATTGCTTGATTCTGTAAAGGAGTTTGACTGTTTGCATGGGCTAACCAAAGTTTAAACAAAAATAATATTTTCTTGCAAAAATCATGAAATGGCTGCAGTTTCTGTTCATATTTTCAAAGGTTCTACTGTTTGCAATTTTCCTTCCTTGAAAATTGTGATATGAGTAATAGAAACTAGAGGCCCTTGAAAATAACAAAATTTACAACTAGCATTCATTAAAGTATAGAGGATCTTACACTAGTGTAGAGCTTTAAGGTTAATGACATATACAATACATAACAAGTTTTAATGAATTCAATATTGTTACATGAGTGCAGAGTCTTAAGGTTTGTGACATATCAAATTATTTAACATGTTTTATAAATGCAATATTATGACAGTATGAGTTTAAGATTCTGTTTATTATATAACCATTTTATTTTTTACTTTTTTAAATCAGTGAAAATTCAAATTAATTTATTTTCAAGATAGACTTAACTAATGTGAATGATACAATTCTCACTATAGGGACAATCATAGCCAGTTTCAAAATTTGTAAATCTAGTCAAAAAATATAGCCTGTTTCAAAATTTATATTACAGATATGTCTCTTCAAGTACAAGTTCTGTGGGCAATCACGGAAAATCTGTCACTTAAAATATAGCCTGTTTTAAAATTTATATTACAGATATGTCTCTTCAAGTACAAGTTCTGTGGGCAATCACGGAAAATCTGTCACTTAAAATATAGCCTGTTTCAAAATTTGTTCAAGAAATATGTCTTTTGAAATACAAGTTCTGTTGGAAATTTAGACCATCTAAAACACATAGGACAACTGTTGCAGTTTTTCTTGTTAGATTTACTGAAAGATGTCTGTGAAATGTAGAAAATGTAGACCATTTACTAACATCATTTACTGTACAATTTTTGTCACTTTATTTTAGGCCAGGTGGATTTCCTGAAATACCTGTTTGAGAGTTACCTGAAAACTGCTGATGAGAAGGATGCAAAGGATTCTGCTGGAAATACAGCCCTTCATAAACTAGTGGTGTGTGGTCAGATCAACACGACACTCGGGGAGACAATTCTCCGACTTCTCCTAAATAATGGCTGTAATACCACGGTCAGGGACATGTCAGGCAGGACTCCTATACAGTATCTAGGCTCAAAGGACGCTGGCTATGTCCATATACAGGCTGCAGAGAAGACAGCAGGTAAGTGTTGTTGTATGGGCTTTCTTAGATAGCCTGATGGAAAAGTTTGACTGTAAAATTATTTTCATGTATGGGCAATAGTTTTCAGTATCAACACTGAATTCAGTAGAAACTGTTCCCCCCCCCCCCTCCCCTTGATTGACTTGATTGTCCATATTTTGTATCATCAAAAGTTTTACTCTGCCACTTCCTAATGTGTCCTTGTGTTCACAGGAGCCAATCAGTTGGGAAAAAATGATTAGCTCTTTGCATAAATCATATACATGACTGTGAAATTTTGTATTGACCTGATTACACCACCCCTATTTTTAGCCCACCATCATCAGATGGTGGGGTATTCAAATCGCCCTGCGTCCATGGTCCGTGGTCCGTCCATCCGTCCGTAAACAATTCTTGTTACCGCTATTTCTGAGAAATTACTGGATGGATCTTTCTCAAATTTCATATGCAGTTTCCCCTTGGTCCCTAGTTGTGCATTGTACCTTTTTTGGACTGATTCAAATTCAAGATGGCCGACAGGTGGCCATCTTGGAGTTTGGATGTAAAAGTTTGTTACCGCTATTTCTGGGAAAGTACTGGATGGATCTTTCTCAAATTTCATTTGCAGTTTCCCCTTGGTCCGTAGTTGTGCATTGTACCTTTTTTGGACTGATTCGAATTCAAGATGGCCGACAGATGGCCATCTTGGATTTTGGAAGTAAAAGTTTGTTACCGCTATTTCAGGGAAAGTACTGGATGGATCTTTCTCAAATTTCATATGCAGTTTCTCCTTGGTCCCTAGTTGTGTATTGTACCTTTTTTGGACTGATTCGGATTCAAGATGGCCGACAGATGGCCATCTTGGATTTTGGATGTAAAAGTTTGTTACTGCTATATCTGAGGAAGTACTGGATGGATCCTTCTGATATTTTGATAGATATTGGTTTCCCTTGGTCCCTAGTTGTGCATTGTACCTTTTTTGGACTGATTTGAAATCAAGGTGGCCCACAGGCCGCCATCTTGGATGTTGACAGTAATACAGCACAAACATATTGTCCATTATCCACCTGTAACTGACTGCTATCTAATAATACTTTGGGATCTTTTTCAAATGATATTTGCTAATAAGTGCTTAATAAAAATATCTTGTGCCATCATTGAGTACATTCAATGAAGACCAGTTCATGAACATTTACAACACCTGTAACAAACAAAAAAAAATAAACAAATCTTCAAGAACTGAAAATAGATCCTCAAATGGTGGGCGCCAAGATCCCTCTGGGATCTCTTGTTTTTCTTTTCAACAGGATACCATGATTTTTTTTTGCTCTGTTTTACTCTGTTTCCCCTACAGCTAGCAAAAATTTGTTCCCCCCCCCCCCACCCAAAAAAAAAAGAAAACGAAGTAAAATCTAAGAATATTTTCACAGATTTTCCCTATTAATGAAGGCACAAGTTGCTTTAATATCAACAGAGAAAAATGCTTATATACATATTTATCAATGTTATTGCATTGCATTGTACAAGGCTTACTCTGTCACTTGATTACATGTCATATGTAGGTATTACAGCCATATCTCTCTAATCAGCAGGTGTTATCTCATTAGAACAGGGGATAAGTCATGTTCTCAGTAATTTTCACATACCTGTAATCATACAAAAGTGAAAGTACTGTACACTTCATTGAAAACATATCAGCTGGTTTAGGAGCTGATTAAGAAGTTGATATGTAGCTGATTAAAAGTTGATATAAAATGTATGACACGTATTATAGCTATCAGTTTTTATAAAGAAGAAGATGGGAATAGGACAGTAAGTGGCCAGTCAATAAGTTTTCACACCATTAATTCTGATTATAAATGTAAAGCAGATGGTAGGATATGTTACAAATAACTAATTACTTCTTTTTAGGTCACCTGAGCCGAAGGCTCATGGTGAACTATTGCCATCATGATTTGTCTTGTCATTGTGACCAACATTTTAACCGTAACAATTTACGAAAGATTTTTCACAGAAATGGTAAGACCAAAATTAGAGAGCCTTGCCTAACTTGAGGGTGAATATCAAAATATCTCTGAACAAAGCCATTAACCAGTACTTTATACACAGCAGGGATATTTCACATTTTTGTGGGTGATAAAGCTGACAAAGGAGAAATTAGTCATTGATATTCAAAAATTTGATTTAAATGAAAAAAAAAATAGATATATATAAAGTTTTTGAATCGTTTGAAGTGGAGGAGTTGAGAAGAACCATACTTGAGCTAAAAGAGGCTGGTAATAGAGCACACAAGAATGAAGGATATCACAGCCAGGCAGTGGAATTCTATACCCAAGCATACACAAAATGTATTGACTGTGACGCACTTAAAAATGAGGCTGCCATTCTACTAACCAACCGGTCCAATGTCCTCAGTGTCCAGGGTAAACATAGCGAAGCGCTTTCCGACGCTGGGAAGGCTATAGAATATGACCACACATGGTACAAGGTGAGATTGTCAAACATGTTGAAAGATGCAGGGAGAATATTTGTGATCAGTAACGGGAGTTTTATTAGGTAACTCAAGTGACTTATTGCAATCACCTTTCAGTTGTCATTGTATTGCATGCATCTGTAATTTTTATGGTCCCCACCCAATTGGGCATGAGGGGCAGGACTGAAATAGCTCAAATTGACTTCAAACTTCAAAAATCCTCTTTTCAAGACCTAGATATAGTAGAATCAAATAACCGCATGGATGGAAGGGTTTTTATATGCTTCCTGAAGTTGTTAATTTCATGACCCAAGGATCTGACAAGTTCGCTGTAGTTTTGATTAGAAAATTGAATTTTTCAGAATATTTGTTTAATTTCTATCTAAAATAATTCTAACTTTGTTTGATATATTGTCTTGGAATGGCAGTCAATGTTATATTTAAAGTACATTTGTATATGCACAAATTATCTTATAGAGAACTGTTATTTGTCAGGTAGATATATATATATAATAATATGTAGATTATTGTGTAGATAATTCTAACTTTGTTTGATATATTGTCTTGGAATGGCAGTCAGTGTTATATATAAAGTACATTTGTATATGCACAAATTATCTTATAGAGAACTGTTATTTGTCAGGTAGATATATATATATATATTATAATATGTAGATTATTATATAGATAGAGAACTGTAATTTGTCAGGTAGATATAATATATATATATAAAATAATATATAGATTATCATGTAGATAGAGAACTGTTATTTGTCAGGTAGATATATATATATATATAGTAATATATAGATTATCATGTAGATAGAGAACTGTTATTTGTCAGGTAGATATAATATATATATATATAAAATAATATATAGATTATCATATATATATTATAGAGAACTATAATTTGTCAGGTAGATATATATATATAATAATATGTAGATTATTGTATAGATAATTCTAACTTTGTTTGAAATATTGTCTTGGAATGGCAGTCAATGTTATATTTAAAGTACATTTGTATATGCACAATGAAGTTAAAGTTATCTTACTTAGTTAACAAGATGATTTCTATAACACATGTTACGAAAACAGAAAAAAACAGCTTTAGTAGCAGCCAGGTGACCTTAAGGCCCTTTGGGCCTCTGGTATGAATGGTAGATAAGTTGGTTGGTTCTTTTTGTGAATCTGCGTTTTGCTAGATTTTGTCAGTGTATAGTCAAAGTTTTGTCAGTATATAGTCAAAGTTTTGTCAGTATATAGACAGTGTTTTGTCAGTATATAGTCAAAGTTTTGTCAGTATATAGACAGTGTTTTGTCAGTATATAGTCAAAGTTTTGTCAGTATATAGACAGTGTTTTGTCAGTATATAGTCAAAGTTTTGTCAGTATATAGACAGTGTTTTGTCAGTATATAGTCAAAGTTTTGTCAGTATATAGTCAAAGTTTTGTCAGTATCAGTATATAGACAGTGTTTTGTCAGTATATAGTCAAAGTTTTGTCAGTATATAGACAGTGTTTTGTCAGTATATAGTCAAAGTTTTGTCAGTATATAGACAGTGTTTTGTCAGTATATAGTCAAAGTTTTGTCAGTATATAGTCAAAGTTTTGTCAGTATCAGTATATAGACAGTGTTTTGTCAGTATATAGTCAAAGTTTTGTCAGTATATAGTCAAAGTTTTGTCAGTATATAGACAGTGTTTTGTCTGTATATAGACAGTGTTTTGTCAGTATAAAGTTTGATATCTTTATATTTAACAGGGACACAGGAGGAAAGGACAGGTTCTCAGGGTACTGGGAGTTTGATATTTTATATTTAACAGGGACACTGGAGGAAAGGACAGGTTCTCAGGGTACTGGGAGTTTGATATTTTATATTTAACAGGGACACTGGAGGAAAGGACAGGTTCTCAGGGTACTGGGAGTTTGATATTTTATATTTAACAGGGACACTGGAGGAAAGGACAGGTTCTCAGGGTACTGGGAGTTTGATATTTTATATTTAACAGGGACACCGGAGGAAAGGACAGGTTCTCAGGGTACTGGGAGTTTGATATTTTATATTTAACAGGGACACTGGAGGAAAGGACAGGTTCTCAGGGTACTGGGAGTTTGATATTTTATATTTAACAGGGACGCTGAAGGAAAGGACAGGTTCTCAGGGTACTGGGAGTTTGATATTTTATATTTAACAGGGACACTGGAGGAAAGGACAGGTTCTCAGGGTACTGGGAGTTTGATATTTTATATTTAACAGGGACACTGGAGGAAAGGACAGGTTCTCAGGGTACTGGGAGTTTGATATTTTATATTTAACAGGGACACTGGAGGAAAGGACAGGTTCTCAGGGTTTTGGGAGATTATGTGGCGTCCTTCCATGCTTTCCTCACAGGACACTCTGTGAGTAAAGACGTCACTGTGGACCAAAGAAGGAGCTTTCTGGCTGAGGCTGTCATATCTTTAGCATCTGTAAGAAGTAAGTAGTCATTGTAATTATTTGTTACTAGCTGACAAAATGTATTTTTAAATGACTCATCATTTCAGTGGATGGTTGTCCAACTAGTTCTTCTTTTGTATGATTGACAATAAATGTACGGACATGATTTAGAAATAAAACAAGGTCACTGGTAACAAAATGTAGAAATATCCTGTCTTGTCTTTGAAAAGTATTATGTTTTTAATCACCAGCATGTATGAGTTGCAGAAAGCATTTTCAATATTTGCTATCACAGAAATAAAATACACATTTTGTTATTTAACACAGATGCAACACTGCAAAGTCAAGTGCAATCTGATTAAAAACTTGGCCCCAGGATCATGACATGATCTTAGGTCTAAGATTTTTTTCAGTTTTTACTCAGCCAATCACAGACAATGTCATGAAAAGTGATATCATATTTGATTGGCTAAGCAAAGATTTTAAATTTAAGATAGTTTCACTACATTAGTTTCACTACATTAACCCTCTGTATTGATACGGAGAATCGATAGTTTCACTACATTGACCCTCTGTATTTATACAGAAAGTCATTGTGAAATAAGGTCTGATTTCAATCAGATTAAATTTTTAAAAATAGATGTTAAATATCACAGTCAGGTCCATTACAGAGAGGTTTGTTAGGAAATGCAGACTTAACATCTGCCAGAATAGACAAGACGTGACTGCAAGCATTTGGTTGCAGAAAAAAATTTAGAGTTGGGCAGAAGTGTTTTTATTTTGCTTCATAATGTCAAATGTATATCTTTTTATGAAACAATACTTTCAGACCAAGATACCTACGACAAGTTGTCTGCCACTAATTTGCAGAATTACAGTAATGCTGATTGGACCTTTGTGCTGGCTAGACTTTCCAAGGCAGGAGAATGGAAGACTGTTCGTGATCTTGTCATGGGCAGTGAGAGGACACTTTCTCGTGCCCAGTCTGCAGGTAAGACTTTGGTCAGAATAATCATGTTTTTATTTGTATAACTTGTGTTCAAATTTAAGGTTAAAACAATTTTCAGAAGTCCCTTCATCTGTCTACTATTAGTCTGTCCCCCCATCTGTCATTGATTTGTCCATACTTGTCCAGGATTTATCTGTTCATCACTTTATCTCATGAACAATTCAGTTTTCACAGTTTTTGAGAAAAAGGTTAAAAATGAAACCAAAGGAAAGGTTCACTTTTGGACTTTGATGTGTATACAATTTTTAGCTTGCTTATTCAGGGCTAACAAAATCACCCTGGTTGGCAGCATTCCAATTAATAATTTTAATGATAATGTCATAATGTCATAAAGTCAATTCTAGATTAGCATTCAGGAAATCATGTATATATGTGAATATATCTGAATAGGTAGGTTCATAAAATAAAATACAATGTAGCCTGTTATATTTGTGAGAATGATCTTTTTGCTATTTTTTCATGAAGTTGATGCCATTAGATGTTTCTGAATCATAAAGTTTTGTTTTTGTTCTTAAATTTGTATATGACATAAAAATTGGTTTTTGAAAAATAAAGATTGAGTGATTATTACAATTTTTGTGCGAGTAATTTTAAAAGTTAAAGATGGATGATTTTTTAAATATTTTTTGTTGATAGGATGGAAGTTTGAGGATGGCCCGAAAGGTTTTGGCGTGGCACTGAACGCCCCAACCACAGGGATGATTTTTTCCACCATTTTCCCTTATATTCAGGCTCACTGTGATCCATACAGTACCCGTTGGATGACCATTCTACTCAAGGTCCTGCTCGATAATGGCGGCGGACTGCCCAACTTTCTCACCTTTCTGCAGGATGAACATGACACACCACTGCATGCTGCAGTCAAATTTTCCTTAATCACTGGTATGCGACCTCTGTTAACTGATATGATATATATCTGTCATCAAGACGAAAGGGTAACACAAATTCTCTGAACAAAGTAGGGTCTGGCAAAAGCACTTGTTGGCTCATCATGTTTAGTAAATTTCACCTAATGATTAGTATTGGCTACTGGTCTATTGGATGAGCAGACCTGACGTGTCATGATGACCTATAGCCATTGTGCTTTTTCCATAGTTGCCTGCCGGACGTAAACTTTTGACATTTTAAACTTCTTCTATCCAATGGGACTGAGCTCCAGCTTGCATAAAATGATCCTGAGATGGGCCTGATCAAGAGTTGTTATTTTTTGGGTTTGTCTGAAATCTAAGATGGTGGCCATGGCCACGACAACCACGTTTCGAAAAATCATATTTTAAACTTTTCCAGTTTCACTGGTGCCATTGAGCTAAACATTGGTGGGGATGTTAAGGAAAGGTAGCCAATTTTGTTATACTTTAAACAGGACCTACCATGCTCCCTTAAGTGTAAAATTATCAACTTTGTTGTACATTAAACAGGACATACCATGCTCCCTTAAGTGTAAAATTATCAACTTTGTTATACATTAAACAGACCTACCATTTTAAACAGGACCTACCATGCTTCCTTAAGTGTAGAATATTCACCTTTGTTGTATTTTAAACAGGACATACCACGCTCCTGGAAGATGTTCCACACATGCCTGAGGGCTCTTGTCTGGCTGAATTGGAAGACAAGCGAGGCGATTCTCTTTTCCACATAGTGACAAAGAACCCGCAAACCAAAGACATGGAGCACATTTTGAAAGTGACTCGTCTTCTCCTGGACAAGGGCTTCTCTGTCAAGGTCAAGGACAGAAATGGCCGCACCCCGATCGACTACATCAAACAAGGGGAGAAGGAAGCACTGTTTGACCTTTTACTGAAACAGTATAACAAAGGTAGGGGTTTGAATTTGTATTACTATGAATGTACTTAATTTGGTGCAATCACACTCATCAATCTACAGGTACTAAAATTTCGATGGGACTCAAAAATCTCTGGAAATACTTAGATTTTACATTAAGGGACCTATTCTTTGCAATAAAGTTGAAAAAGACTTGTGACAATAAATTGTAGATTGATCATTGATTCAGGTGCATTATCACTTTTTAGTCCCCTGCCGGTGAAACCGAAGGGTACTATAGTGTTTGTCTCTGTCTGTCCGTCCATCCGTCTGTCGGTTTGGATGTTGGTTTCCAGAAGATAACTTGAGAACAGATTAATGGATTTGGATGAAACTTCATACAATGTTAGTTTATAAGGCAATATAGTGTGGAATTTTGTTTTGGGTCAAAACGTCAACTACATAGGTCACTGTTACTAAAAATAGAAATTGTTGTCACATTTTAGTTTCCAGACAATAACTTGAGAATGGATTAATGGATTTGGATGAAACTTCATACAATGGTAGTTTATAAGGTAATATAGTGTGGGATTTTGTTTGGGGTCAAAAGATCAACTACAAAGGTCACTGTTACTGAAAATAGAATCTTGTCACAATTTAGTTTTCAGACAATAATTTGAGAATAGATTGATGGATTTGGTTGAAACTTGACACTGGAAGTTTATAAATAATAAAACAAGACACTTCTGATACAGAACAAGTTCTACATTACTTGAAAAAATAATGTATGTATACTGCAATTAGATCATGGGGCCAACATATAAACTTGGATCCATAGTAAAGGGTTAGCTTATTGCAAACAGTTAAGTAGCATTTGCTCCCATTTGCTTGACAACAGAACATTGGTGGGCTTATTAGCAGACATGGGCTTATTTGCTGATAAATACAGTAATTTACGGCAGGGGACATGTGTTGCATGCAACACTAACTGTAAGCTTGTTAGTAAATTAGTGCATCCACAATATTTGCTATGTAAACAGCATGCAGAAATTGCAATTTGTGAAGTCATATATTCCAGTACAGTAATTTTTTCAGCATGAAAAACATTAAAATAAATATAACACTATATTGTGTACATTTGCAGTATCATCAGCTGTGGTCAGTGTAGACAATCTAAATATAAAAACCTCAAATTATTATTCTACCTCTGAAGATTTCTGTCCTGCTTGATAATTTAAAGGAAAACAAAATAACAGATTCTTGTCAAATTCACCTGTTTTGAATAAAATTGCAACGATTATCAAATTTGTTTGTGAATGGTGTGTTATTAGTATATTGGTAATTGTTTACGTTGCAATAGGTTCTAGAGACTTAGAATTTTTATCAAAATTTGTTCAGTCCTAATAATTTGAAATGTTGTTTATGAATGTATTGTGCCTTGAGTAACTAAAAGAAGATATGTTTGTGTCAATTTAATCAGATCAAAAGCCATCGGTGAAGACAAAACAGAAAGCAGCAGCTCATACCAGTTCACCTTTACAAGGAGCTCAGGTTGGAAATCCAAAACAGCTACGGGAACTTGGTAACAAGGAGTACAGCAGTGGCAATTACATAGCTGCTATAGAGTTGTACACACTGGTAGGTAGAGAGTCCAGATATACATAGCTACTATATTGAGTTGTACACACTGGTAGGTAGAGAGTCTAGATATACATGGCTACTATATAGAGTTGTACACACTGGTAGGTAGAGAGTCCAGATATGCATGGCTACTATATAGTGTTGTACACACTGGTAGGTAGATAGTCCAGATATGCATGGCTATTATATAGAGTTGTACAAACTGGTAGGTAGAGACTCCAGATATACATGGCTATTATATATAGATGTACACACTGGTAGGTAGAGTCCAGATATACATGGCTACTATATCAAATTGTACACACTGGTAGGTAGAGAGTCCAGCAATACATGGCTACTATATAGTGTTGTACACCCTGGTAGGTAGAGAGTCCAGCAATACATGGCTATTATATAGAGTTGTACACACTGGTAGGTAGAGAATCCAGATATACATGGCTTCTATATAGAGTTTTACACACTGGTAGGTAGAGAGTCCAGATATACATGGCTACTATATAGAGTTGTACACACACTGATAGGTTAAGGGCCGTCTTTATTATTGATATAGTCACTATATGAATTAAAGAAACCAACTTTTGCCTGTTATTGTAATATCAATCTATGAATGGTGATAAAAGTTGAATTCACGATGCTGTTGAGACCGAGATGCTAATTCTTTCTGTTTTTTCATCCTATTATCTTGTCCTTGTTGCAGGCAATCAAAGCCACACCAGAAAAGGAGAGAAATGACCTGTGTAAGCTGTATAGTAACAGGGCTGAGTGTCACTTTCGTCTGAATCAGTTTGATAAGTCACTTACAGATGCCATGGAAGGCGTATCAAATGATGGCTATTGGTACAAGGTAGGTCACATGACTTGTGTATTGTAGGTCACATGACTGGTACAAGGATGTTCACATAACAGGTGCACTGTAGTCACATGACTGGTATAATCTAGTCAACATGACTAGTTAAGTTGTAGCATGTCTGCCATTGGTAAATTGTAGATGAAGTGTGACTGTGCAGACATCACATGCAAGATATTTTGGCTTTGACAGTAACAGTTTGAAGAGGGAGATATCAAATGTCATAGGTCTCCTAAAATATGTACCTGTTCTTTAGAAGTTGATGTCAGCTGAAGTGTTTGGTTCAGATTGCAGCCATTGTAATTTCCTGTCAACTGTATGATAGTATTTGTTCTTCAGGCTCATGTGAGGGTAGGTAAAGCCATGGGTGCACTGGGAAACAAGGAACAGGCTGTGATGGCCCTTGTCAATGCTTTCTCACTGACTGCCCAGGAATCTGAACAGACACGCAGGGAAGTCCTTGCTGAGCTCTCCATTCAGTATGCAAAGATGGATAAACTTAAATGTAGGTTTCATGGGTAGTTATGCTCCCTTTACAGTAATGTTACATCATTGTATCATTTCAGGTATAAAATGAAAAATATTCTTCCAACCAAGAAATTTGATTTCATAAAGCATTTTCAAAGGAATAGAGCAAAATGTTTTAAAATGATATGGTAAATTATAGAGAGCAGAATAACTATCTAGAAAGTTTAAATCATCATTGATTTTTCAAAAAATAGTTACCATTATTGCTATTTATGGATTGATCATTGAATTAAGATTTTAATTTGTCTACTTGTTGGGCTTTGTTTATAGATAATGAAAGAATCCCAGGATTACAGATTGTACAATGTGAGCTTTGGGCCAGAGTTTCCTATGATCTGATATGTAGAAGTCAGATTAATGCAGCATTAGTTGCCTTCAGACAGCTGAATATCAATGCTAAAGGAAAGTTACTGAAATTTCGCATCAGAGTTGATTTGCGACCTTTCTGTAATCTCAGTCGCCTTGCAAAAGATGAATGGATGCTGGAACTAGTGGAACTCTTCCTGGAAGGTGGTTGTGACCACAACTCACTGTCTGTCCATCCAGGGGACCGCTACATCCATGCAGTGGTCAAGATGACACTTGCTGCAGGTATGAACCCTGTTCATCTGACAATAACCTCACCTTTATCAATTGGTGTTCAAAAAATTTCTAACAAATGCTGATCAACTGCTGGGAGCCAGAATTTGTATGTTTACCCCATGTGTTTATCACAGAACACTCACCAGCTGTCATTTGAATTCATGTAATAAGACTAAATTTACTTGAGAAATCCATCTTGTACTTATCACTCATGTTGACCTGGATAAAAGCGTGGGAGGGGTCTTACTGTGGAAGAAAAATGGCGTACCAGTGGAAAATGCTTTTGGTCAGGCAGGTGACACTGTATAACAAGGTTGTATATAAACTTCTATTGATATGATCAGGTGATGTTATTTTGATGTATTTGTGAGAAAAACTGCACTTCAAATGCCATTTTCAAATCCACCTAAAAAAATGTGGAAAAACCCAGCTGAAGCATAGTAAACCTATACTCTTCAATGTGATGATCTGTCACAGGTGTTATCAGTCTGCTCCAGTTTGTTCTACATACCTATACTGTGCCATCGGGGGAACAAAACCTACTGGATAACCATGGTAACACTCCACTTCACATAGCAACACAGAATTCTCGTGCCTCTTCAGTCCTGCGTCTGAATGTGGCCATGGAGTTGTTGAATGCCAATATCAGTGCACTGCAGAAGAACAGTGATGGGAAGATGGCATTGGAGTATGTCTCTAGAGGGGAATTCCAGATGGTAGCTGTGATCCTGGAGTATATGAAGGCAGAGGAAGGTATATTCCTGGCATTTAAGATCAAAACAATTAACTACACAGAAAAGCAAAAACCGTAATTGCAATAAAGTTGAAACAACTTTCTTCTCAAGAACTGTAAATGTAGTAACTGAAAAAAAAATCTTTTCACAAGAAATATTACTTTAAGAACTGAAACATCTTTTACAATCAATGTAATTTATTTATCAGATTTAACAAAAATTGTTTTCCTCCTCCTCCTCCTCCTCCTCCTCCTCCTCCTCCTCATCATCATCATCATCATCATCATCATCATCATCATTATCATCATCATCACAAAAGGACTTGGAGCCAATGTAAGGACTCTGGAATAATACATAGACGCATCAACTTAACTCATAGAAACTTTCAGACATTCTTTGGTAGAGGGGGAATATGTAACCCTGATAAACTGTAGACATAATATACTTCTTGGCTGGTGAGAATTTAGTTTAGACTAATAATTCAGAGGTCCCAGGTTCAAGTCCATGTAGAGGAATCAAGATAAATGACCAGGAAAAACAAGATAATGCAGTTTCATGTGTGAAAAAGTTGCCCGACTGCAGAAAGGAAATTGTTCATAAAAGAAGGCATTTACTTCTCTTTGTTTTCTTGAGAAAAGTAAATGAATCGTTTCCAAATTAAAGGTAGGTCTAATTGTTTTAGACATGAACAGACAGATGAAAATGCAGAACACCATTCAATCAACGGCTGTCCAACAGAAAGCACAGCAAGAAAAATTGGAGAAGAAAAGACTTGATCAGCAGAAGCTTGAAGTTCAACAGAAAAAGGAAAGACAGGAAAAGCTGGAACAGCAGGAGAAAGAGAGGTTGCAGAAACAGCAGGTAGTGGATCTGAACAGATAAAAAGGGTACAAAATTGTCCCTGTTAGCGTTATTAATAAACTCCTCTAATCTGTATCAAGGTTGTACTATCTCTGCCCCCTGGTCAGCTTTTTTAGCACTTAGACTAAGTGCTGGTGGTTGGCAATGCTTATGTACTTTGACTGAATTAGCAAGTCTTCAGTGGTCAGATCTTCCGGGAGATTTAGCTTGTAGTTTAATACAACTAAGTTCATTTACTATAATTCATATAGAGGACTTAACCGTTTAATTCACTCTGGTTAAATGGACCTTATTGGCTGAGTAGTTGAGACATGTGACCATCTTTATCACTAACCACCCACATGTGTGTCACGGGTTCGAGGCCTACATAGGGCAGTCATCTGGTACAGGCAACAGGCTGGTGGTTTTACTCCAGGAACTGGTTTTCCTCAACCACGTAAGTCTGGCTTGTCCCTAAATGACCCTGGGTGCTAAAAGGATGAAACAGTAGACTAAACTTGGGTTTAAAACGGATTTTATTTCATTGTATACTTCATATATAATTTTAGGTAGTACACATACTTGTTTCTTTTGCCTTTAACAGAAACAGGTCAAGCCAGCGATAAGTCGTCCTGAGCCTGCCCATTCTGACCCCTGTGTTCGGTGTGATCAGTGGATGAATGAATCTAAAGAGCACCTGAGGTATAAACGTACAGGGAAAGCATATAACCGGCTGGCTCAAGTCATAAGAAAGAAGCACAAAACTAGCAACAGTCGTCATCGTGCTCTTGTAAATGAAGCTTTGACACTAGTCACCAAAAGTCTCAGCACAACATTTAATCCAGGTAAATTGACCCAAACATTGCTCATACAGTCTGTATATGCCCTTTAACTCAGGTAAGTTTAACCCAAATGTTGGACATACAGTCTTAATATACCCTTAAACTCAGGTAAGTTTAGCCCAATCATTGGTCATACAGTCTCAATATGACCTTATACTCAGGTAGGTAAAGCCCAAACATTGGTCATACAGTCTCAATATGGCCTTAAACTCAGGTAACTTTAGCCCAATCATTGGTCATACAGTCTCAATATGACCTTATACTCAGGTAAGTTTAGCCCAATCATTGGTCATACAGTCTCAATTTGCCCTTAAACTCAGGTAAGTTTCACTTAAACATTTGACATACAGTCTCAATATGCCCTTAAACTCTGGTAAGTTTAACCCAAATGTTGGACATACAATCTCAATATGCCCTTTAACTCTGGTAATTTTAGCCCAAACATTGGTCATAGGTAAATTTTAATATGACCTTTAACCCAGGTAATTTCACTGATACATTGGTCATACAGTCTCAATATGATCTTTAACCTGGACAAATTTGGCCTTTGATACTGACTTCTATCTGCATAATCTATAAACCTGGATAGGTTTAGATAACCTTACACTTACCTTAAATAGTATGACCCTTATCCTAGAAAATTTGATAATACCAAAAAAATATTTCATTTTTGCAGAGATACCAGAACAATTGGTGAGGATTCCTGGTGATTTATATCAGAAGATAATAGATGGATTGGCAAAGGAAGAGAAGTGGCGACAGGTTGACATCCTTGTTCGAGAAAACCGAAAACATCATGGTGACCTGTCTTTGAGAGATTTTGCAAAAAATATCAACATTTCTCGTGTGATTTGTCATCCATCCTTTGTCAAAAAAGATGACCTTCTAGCACAGCTCATTAACAACATGATGGAGAGTGGAGCATCCATGGAAAATGGTAGGAGGTTATGGTGATTGTAGGAGTAATTGAGGTTGAAATCTTCAGTTCTTCTGTGCAATAGATTGTCATTATGATAAAGGATTAATTTCTACCGTTCTAGCAGCAATTCATTCATGGTGGTAAATATGAATGACTGCTATCAATATAGGTATAGATTGTGAAGTTATATATTTATAAAAAGGGCTCAGATTATTTGTATGTAGAGTTTTCCAGTTAAACAATTATCCTGTGCAGACTTTAAAAAAATTTTTTAAAAAAAGATGGGCAATTAAGAAAATGCAGGCTTACCATACATTTAAGTTATTCTTTGAATAAATCACATTTTTCTGGTCCATTCAAGAAACCTGTATTTCTCTTTGTAGTGGGATCCTGTCAGAAATACATTTTACTGGGATACTCAATAATTGCACAATGATTTGTACAAATTCATTTATTATTCTCCTCTGTTAATTAATTGCACATCATGGTAATTGTCATGAGAATTTCAAAATCATATAATTTATTAGTTGAAGTATTTCAATACAAATAAGGATATAAAGTTTTGTTACAGAGGGAAAGATGTGTGTTCTTGCTGCCATCCAGGAAGAACATTTCAAATTATTGTGCACACTATTTGAAAGGGGAGCTAACCCCATACACTTGTCCCTGCAACCTGGAGACACACCCATTCACGCTGCGATGTCAATAGCTTTGGAGAGAGACAAAGGTATGACATTATGAATATTTTAGAGTCTTTTACATTTAAGAATAAAGAAACAAAACAAACAAATATATTAGAAAAAAATACACTATTCTTTTGATTTTCACTCTCAATCTTGTGTCAATTGATAGTTAATATTGTATGGCTTTTTTGTTAATTTGCAGGCAATTTTGCCATCTTCAATCTTTTGGTTGAAAAATTTCAAACTGACCCAGAGAGGTATGCAAATCTTGACCCCAATCAACAGGATGCCAATGGTGATGGCCTCTTTCATGTTGTGGCTAAGATGAAGTACAACAGCACTACGCAGAAAGCTACAGAGCTCTTATGTGAAAAGAAAATATCTGCGTTAGTCCACAATAGTGAAGGAAAATTGCCCAAAGACTATCTCATCAACAAGAAGAATGACAGAAGGTAAGACTTAAAAGAATACACTGAGAATTTATTGTTAAATAGTTTTTAGACATTAACATTTTATTACCATGCAATTTTTGAAATGATTAAAAAAAATCTCAAATGTATAAGAAAATTTTAGAACATTCCAGGAAAATCAGATGGTTGGCTAGAAAAATCACTCTACATCTGTGGTCCATCTGTCTGTAAGCAATTTTTGTTATCACTGTCTCTTGAGAAGTACTGCATAGATTTTTAGGTCATCTGTTCCACCAATGGGATTGAGCTCTAATTTGCCTGAAATGATCCTCACCAAGTGTTGTTATTTTCAGGGTATGCTTGAAATCCAAGATGACCACCATGGCTGTCATCTTAAAAAAACATATTTTAAACTTAACTGTCAAAAGAGAGGTAACACTTGTTACAGTTAAGTACTCCTCACCCTAATACCATCTGCATCATGGAAAACAGCTTCTTAGTAAGATTTCATTCAAAGTAGTAAAAAATAACCATTCTCCCTGCTGAAAGTTTTTGAAGTCAGATAAACGTTTAGGCTCGTGGGCCTCTTGTTCTCTAATTTCCTATGTAGGTTTCCCATGGTCCCTAGTTGTGCCTGTTTGATTTTGGGATGATCAGTAAAAAAATGGAGTTCAGGTGACGGTCTTGGATTTGGCAGTTAAAGATTATTATCGCAAAAACAGGGAAGAGAAAAGATGGGAAAAGATCCAATTTTTAAAGAACAAATAAAGATCAGACAATGATAGGTGCCAAGACCCCTCTGGGATCTCTCGTGTAATGATTTAGGACAATAAAAGTTTTTAAATTGTCAGAGACAATGAAGTTTTCCGAATGCTTAAAGACAATGAAGTTTAAAGAATGGTGGAAGACCATGAAGTTTAAGAATGTTTGAGGGCAGTGAAATTTTCAGAATTATTGAAAATAATTGGAAGTTTTCGGAATGCTAAAGTTAATTCTTAAAGATTTAAGGATACTGAAATCATTATAATTGTCAAATTTTTTTTTTTTTTTTTTTAATATTGAAGGAAAAGTCAGAGGCTGTGGTGTTTCAGAATTTATGAAAATCCTGAGTTTTTAGTAGAAATGTTCCAAAGCATTTTAGCAAAATTTTATCAGAATTTGAAATAAACTATTTTGTTTCAAAGTAATTTGTAGCATTAATCCTGTAATACAAACTGGTTTTGAAAAGTGTTCTCTGTTCTTGGTGACAAATCAGATCCTGAAATACAAATCTTGATGGAATTATGGTTTTGAACATTTGAAATAAAAACAAATTTTGGAGTGAACATGAGAATCTGTATTTCATTTCTGCTTCATAACAGCCAACTCTGTTGATGAAAAACACCAAACTGTTTTCTGTTGTTGTCTACCATCACCACAGATCCAGTTTGATGGGAACAGAACATATGGTTTTTTGTTTTTTTTGTTTTTGCTTTATTTACATTATAGATTGCAGTTTTTTCGACTGGCATCTGTGGAAACAGAAACCAAAACGTCGGTCAAGAAGCCAAAGAAGCCTCGACTGAAAATTTCTGAGGAGGATGTGCTGGAGGAAGAACAAGACTTACTACTGTATTGCAGGACAGACGAAGTCCAAGTCAGTTCAGGTCCAGAAAAAATCACACGCAGAGACAAGAAGTTGATATTTGCTAAGACATCAACACACCGTGACACATCCAAAAAGAAAATTGAGGAAATGATCTTCAATCTACCAGACACACCTTACTCAATATTCAATCCTAAAGTGCCAAGAACAGAGGAAAGTTGGAGGTCAAGGAAGTTAGGTGGAGGTCAGAAAGAAGCAAAGTCACTGGAGAAGAAGGATGTTCTTAAGGTTGATAAAATTGTAGTGAAATGGAATTTTAGACCACAAACCTTTACCATTTCAAAAATGTGCAAGTAAATCATGTAGCACAGAAAATTCAGTAGGTTATACTCGTGTGCAGTTTATAGCCCAGATTCTGATCTACTGTATTTTCTGGGCTATATACTGTACCTGAGTGTAAGCCGCAGGGCTTGTTTTTAGCTATTTGTTCGATTTGATGCATGTTTAAGATGCATAAGACGCATCTGGATATAAGTTGCACCCTTTCTTACAATGCAGTCACCGTTATGTTGACCAAAGTTCATCGATATAACACACATTGGAAGACAGTTTATCAAGATCGTCAGTGAAACATTTGATATAAGTTTACAAATAAATTCCATTTTTGAAACGATGCAGGTTTCTGGTCTGAAATTCCATTTTTGAAACGATGCAGGTTTCTGGTCTGAAATTCCATTTTTGAAACGATGCAGGTTTCTGGTCTAAAATTCCATTTTTGAAACGATGCAGGTTTCTGGTCTGAAATTCCATTTTTGAAACGATACAGGTTTCTGGTCTGAAATTCCATTTTTGAAACGATGCAGGTTTCTGGTCTGAAATTCCATTTTTGAAACGATGCAGGTTTCTGGTCTGAAATTCCATTTTTGAAACGATGCAGGTTTCTGGTCTGAAATTCCATTTTTGAAACGATGCAGGTTTCTGGTCTGAAATTCCATTTTTGAAACGATGCAGGTTTCTGGTCTGAAATTCCATTTTTGAAACGATGCAGGTTTCTGGTCTGAAATTCCATTTTTGAAACGATGCAGGTTTCTGGTCTGAAATTCCAGTTTTGAAACGATGCAGGTTTCTGGTCTGAAATTCCATTTTTGAAACGATGCAGGTTTCTGGTCTGAAATTCCATTTTTGAAACGATGCAGGTTTCTGGTCTGAAATTCCATTTTTGAAACGATGCAGGTTTCTGGTCTGAAATTCCATTTTTGAAACGATGCAGGTTTCTGGTCTAAAATTCCATTTTTGAAATGATGCAGGTTTCTGGTCTAAAATTCCATTTTTGAAATGATACAGGTTTCTGGTCTGAAATTCCATTTTTGAAACGATACTGGTTTCTGGTCTAAAAATTTAGAGATAAATTGTTCTTGTCAATTTAACTTAAGTTGCAGACCCTTAAAATTGGTTTTCATGATGACCCATCAAATATTGCTGTTGTCTGAGTGATTTTAACATAACTGCTGACTTTAAGGAGGAAGGTAGGGTTATTACAGATCATGTATTTAACATTTGTTAGCTTTTCTGGTTAATTCAGTAGATATAGTTTGGCTTATCCCCAAACATATATGCTTATTTTAGGATCTCCAAGTATGCATTTCTGATATTCTATCTGGACCACATTGAGGTTAAAAACTCTGTTAATCTGATATTTACCCATGTATTCAATTTAATCTATTTTACAAGTAGAACATCAGCTTAGTCCTCCTGGCCAGTCATTCTTCATCAGTAATATTTTTGTTTTGTTTATAGGTTGAGGAGGAAAGATCACATCCAACGACAGATTCCTCAAAACAAGAGAATGTTACAGCGGTGGCAGCTCGTCCACAGGAAGACCCTCTGGAGGAGACAGTATCCAATGGCGAGCCGGCACCAGACGACGAGGAAGAGGAAGAAGAAAAGGAGACATATGAGGTTAAAAAAATTAGTGTTACATGTGGCTAACATTCTATCATAATTTTGTTTCTGCTCATGTAGCCTTTTAACAGTTACAAATATAGAACAGTAATTTGATATTGTATAAGTCATATTCAGGTCAAGCACTGATTTGGTTATTGTTTCAGTGTTTCAGATTTATGGCCAATTTCTAATTAAAATTTTCATATTAACAGCAAGACCAATAGTGGAAAGCCTTGTTTAACTCCAGTGGGTTAAAAAAAATGCAGGTAGAATTTCAATTTTATCTCAGGTTCTTTACCATTTATTCTACTGGCTGGACTTTCTAGGTTACCTGAGACAAAGTCTCATGGTGACCTATTGCGATCCCCTTTTGTCCAGCATCGTGCATCGTAAACTTTAAACATTTTCGACTTCTTCTGGAAAACATTTGAACCAATTTTAAGGAAAATTTACAAAAGTCATCCATGGTATTGGGGCACTAAAATTTAAAGTTATATGATCCTCAACTCCTTCTAAACCCCAGGTATGGTAGAGTGAAGTACACTTCATAGATGGAAAGGCCTTTAGATGGTTTATCTAAAGTGTAAATTTTATGACCCCAGGGTCTTGCATTTCCTCCCAGTAGAGGGTGTAAGGTTTACTCTAGTTTGTAGAGGAAAATCACATTTTTGAACATTATATGTTTATTTTCTATTAGAAATAATCCATACATGGTAAGAGTTTAATGAGATGTACATATTGACCTCTGCTGAACCCTAGAGGGCGGGGTCAAGGGTCAAATAGTCTGAAATTGCAAATATTTTCTTCTCAAATCACAGAATCAAGTACTTTTCATGGATGGAAAGGTCTTCAGATGCTTTACCAAAATTGTTAATTTCATGTCTCCAGGGTCTCACATTTCCTTGTGGAGAGGGGGTAAAGTTAACTATACTAGAATGACCTGCCTTTGCAGCCATGGTGCACGGAGTATATGAATACGCTGATTTGTAAAATATGCCTACAGGATCAAGCAACACAAGCAAGCGAACAGTCCACAGTTACTTAATGATGATATGTTGACATCAGAGTCCAATGATCATGATTCAGACCCAGATTCTGTCGACAAAGATGATGAAAAAAAATCATCCCCAAACTTCTCAAAACAGCATGTAAAGATCTTGGACTGTCTCCATGACTTCCATTGAAACTTCATCTAATCCCTTGTCAAAACTTGCATCAATTAGTCAGTTATGAAATTTCATCAACTTTCGGCCATCTGTGTATTCTACAAAGAAAATAAAACAATATTGATAAAATATATTGGCAAATCAAAGACATCAACACGTATCAGAACTACTTTTCACAAGTCATCCTGTCCATAAACAAATATATTCAATGCGAATGACATTAAATGCACGTGACTTTTCGTGACCTGTAACCTCTGACACAGCCGTCACATGGTCTTGCTAGACACACTAAATAATCCTTAAAAAGATTTATTTTCTCTGATGTATAACTAAACTATATGAACACATCTCGTCTTTGATATAAATAATGGTTTCTGTTCATAGATAAGATATTCACGCTTCTTCTACTGTTACAAGGCTAATTCAGCATACTACTGCTCAGACAGTGGAGACATGCAATTAAACAGCCAATGAAATACAGGAATTTAACATATATGCGTCAACAGCCAATGAAATACAGGAATTTATTAACATATATGCGTCAACAGCCAATGAAATACAGGAATTTATTAACATATATGCGTCAACAGTCAATGAAATACAGTAATTTATTAACATATATGCGTCAACAGCCAATGAAATACAGGAATTTATTAACATATATGCATCAACAGCCAATGAAATACAGGAATTTATTAACATATATGCGTCAACAGCCAATGAAATACAGGAATTTATTAACATATATGCGTCAACATCCAATGAAATATAGGAATTTATTAACATATATATACTTCAACCCAGCAAATTGACCGCTGCCGTAGCTGCTACACCTCAGACTCAAAAGGTCACATATGATCACAGGAAACCCTATTTTCTGCAAACTGGTATCAAAATTTAAAAAAAAATTAATTCTATCGTTTGTAATCTGTTGTGTAATTGCTAATTATACCGATTCACTGAATGGAATTTATGTGACTTCAAATGGAAACAAGTTCATAGAAAATTTGAATGTCTGTCTCACAGGAAATTCAAAACATAAAGAAACTGCATGCATAGACAGTGCTTGATAAATTGGAGTTTGCTATAATGATGTTAAATTAACCATTTTTTTCAGTACCAAGTCCTTAATTGACAAACTAGCATTCCTCACCCATTTCAGTAGATATGAATGGTGTAGCACTTTCTTGACAAAGTATTCTAAAAGAAGGAGTAAATCTAAATGAAATTCCTGTTAGTAATTTCAAGAGAAGGAGATTGACCTTAAAAAACAAACAACATACAAAGTAGTTTTGATAAACTCCAGACTATGATCTATTGCACATTACATAATTAAAAAAAACTTACATATAACAGTAAAGCCGTATGATGGTTATTATGGTTTAAACTCAGATATGGTCCTTCGCCTAGATCTATGGTCCTCCTAGTAAACTAATTCTACAAGATATCTAAAAGAATTTTTTTTTTTTAATAAACAACATATAAATACATAAAAACATAGGGACTTAGGTTGTGTGGGAAAACAAAAGCAAAACAATTTGCCTGCTGCCTCCTTACTTGCAAATTTTGAAAATGTCAGAATGTTAGCATCAGGGAAATGGATTCTGATTCTAGGGGATTGTCCCTGCATGGGCACATCACCCAATTAATCAGTTGTGGATCTGCATTCTAGATTATTCTACTTCATCCCTTACATGTTGTTGAAAAAGTTGTTTGGTGCTTAATTTAAATACAGGGTTTATTCCTGGATCACTGTGGATAGAGGCATATCTCTTAAGCTCATTCTGTGTGTTTAGTTTGTCTCTCCACTTTCTGTAATAGATAAAACTTTATTGATGAAACTTTCCAGCACATTGTCGGCGGTGCCAATATATTAAAGATTTAGTCTATATCACACTATACTAGATTTAACCTTTATGTTTTAGATATCGGGCAAAAATTCTGTTAGAGTAACACATGAACTGTCACACATAGATTGGCATGGACTATTTATAAAAAGAGCTTTCCATAAAAACTTAGTACTACTTAAACATAATTTGTTTCAAAACAATAGTTTACCTCCCTAGCTCCAGATATCAAATGCTCCTGGACCAGGCGAATCTGTCTCTTATAAAGTGACCTGAAGTTATAGTTGGAAACGTGTTTCTAAAGGAGGGATTGGTGTAGATTGACATCCCTGAACCCTCACTGGTCAACCAATGTACAACACAAGTGCTGTGATATAGTTTAATATGACCCTTAGGTCATAATTGAGAACTGGTTAATAATGAAAGATTACCTGTCTTCCGTGTCTGTTGACTGTTAAGGGGTTCAAAGTATTTTTAAAAAATCTTCAATAATTAATATTTTAAAAAGTATTTGTTGGTTAGAACTTCCTTGTGTATTGTACTAGGATATGATCATTTATTTCCTTCACAAAAGTTTTAAGTTGATTTTCTTATTTTTCTTCAAAATTGCTCAACAGTTTCAAAATTTCATTAACAGGTAGATGTTCAGGCCTTTGATAACCTTGAATGGGAAGTTGAATGTACAGCAGATGTCTGGAGAACTTTACGTGACAACCATGTCCTTCCTGAATTGAAACAGCGGATAGTCCGTAAAGTCCAGCACCTGGCCAGTGGGGAATGGCGACGCTCCTTGTGTAAGCCTATCACTGCCAGCAAAATGCCTGAGACACTACGACTCTTTGAGGCAAAATTGTCAAAGGGTGGCAGGATTATATGGGAATTAGCCATAGCATTTTCACCACGGTTGAGTGAATCTGCCGAGCGTCGTTTGAATGCGGAGGAAGAAGAAGTTGAAGATCTTGCTGTGCAAGGAGGAAGAATTTACTCTGAGGTGATTCGAGTTTGGTACATTGTGTTTGATCATGATCACATTTACAGATGTGTGGAACGTATCATCAAGTCCCATAACCGCGGGGAGGAGTGCATCATACAGAAAAAACTCAAAGGAGTAAAACAGACACAGTTCCAGGAACGTGCAGGTCAGTTTTATCACATAGAAAAACAGTCAAATCATTTCAGCAGGAGACTTCACTGTTTTGTAAAACCCACTTTAATTTGATGAGGGTCCACAATAGCATTATTAGTAGAGCATCAGATATTTCTACCACAGGTGAAGATCAGAGATATAAGATTTGATCCCTACCCAGACAGGTTTGTGTTTCTTGAGCGAAGATTTGAATTGTGAAGTTTGATCCCTACACAGGGCAGGTTTGTGTTTCTCGGGTGAAGATCTGAATTGTGAAGTTTGATCCCTACACAGGGCAGGTTTGTGTTTCTCGAGCGAAGATTTGAATTGTGAAGTTTGCTTTCTACACAGGGCAGGTTTGTGTTTCTCGGGTGAAGATCTGAATTGTGAAGTTTGATTCCTCTCCGGGCAGTTTTGTATTTCTCAGGTGAATATCTGTGGTTATAGCAAACCTTTTTATGTCACCAGCTTCTACAAGGAGATCCCACCTCATTGTGATACTGGCTGTTGATTGGGCAATAAGCCAGCTGCAAATCTTAACCTAACAAAGGTGTCTTTATCCGAACGGTTGGACTTTACAAGGCTTAAAATCAGAAGTGATAACAAAGTGAAACTGGCAATGGTAAAACATAAAACATGACTAAATTCATGAGAAATCCTAGTGAAATTGACAACATTGTTCTCAACAGTAAGTATCAACTAAACAGGAGGAAATTTTGTGTACCAGTAGATTGGAATTAATATGTCCGATGAAAATTTATATCCTTCAGGAAAACGCTACCCGATGATATATGCTGAAGCTGACCTTGGGTTGAAAGAGCACGAACTACAAGATTACCAACAGGAATTACAGAAGTTTTATCCTCCAGCTAGTAGTAATGACACCGAGTACCACATTCTCAAGTTCTACTCGTTCTCCTCAAATCTCGTAAACCATGTACTACAGAATATAGAGACAAAGGTGAGTATTTAATAGTACCACGTTCTCCTCCAATCTCGTAAACCATGTACTATAGAATATAGAGACGAAGGTGAGTATTTAATAGTACCACGTTCTCCTCCAATCTCGTAAACCATGTACTATAGAATATAGAGACAAAGGTGAGTATTTTATAGTACCACGTTCTCCTCCAATCTCGTAAACCATGTACTACAGAATATAGAGACAAAGGTGAGTATTTAATAGTACCACGTTCTCCTCCAATCTCGTAAACCATGTACTATAGAATATAGAGACAAAGGTGAATTTTTAACAATACTACATTGCCTTGTTCTCCTGCTGTTTGAATATGGAGATGGTTATCCTCAATTTCCTAGACAAAGTGCTATTCAATGGGTCTTATGAAGGTCAAGTGTTGTGTTCATGTATCTTCAAGGAAAACTGGTGCATAGTAAATGATGTTAAATATTTCAAAACACCATAATTTTTTCAACCAAAGTACATAAAAATGGTAAAAGATTCAATGTGAATTGAAAGCAATTTAAAAAGTGCAGACAGTACAGAGCAATATACTTGTGCATGTTCGTGCATTGATGGTAGAAAGTGTGTTTACAAGATCATCTCCTGGACTGATTCAGGTCATAAGTACATCAAAATATTATTTTTACTTCATTTTTCATCATTCATTACTCAACCAGAATATATGAGAAATATTTAAAGTATGACAGTTTATGTTCAATTGACTGACTGCTGGTCCGTATATATTAATGGTAATATTGCTTTTTTGGAACTAGGTTGCCTTGTTAATGACAGATTTGTAAGACCGTAGCAACTTCCTTCCTAAGCATAACACCGGTATATCTTTATGTTTGTCTTTGACGTGTAGTTATGTTTTGCTCTCGAAATAAAAGAAATTCAGAATGATATATGAAATATATGTTATTTTGTGTATATATCCTATTTATTCAGGTGGATTTCCCTTTCCGTGTGACTGATCTGGAGCATGCCATTATCAATCTGAGATCGCAGGCACCAATCCTACTGCTGGGCCGAAGTGGGACAGGCAAAACGACGTGTTGTCTGTACAGACTGTGGACCCAGTTCCTGTCCTATTGGACCAAGGCCACGCAGGCAGAGGCCCCGCTCCTTCCAAGATGTCCTGTATACAGGAAACAAGGAGAGGAAAGGGGTGAAGGTTGGTCTAAACACTTTGTTCATACTTTAAGAGTATATTGAGAGTTTTAATACACTATATAGATAGTGAGAGCATCATTCTTGTATGACAAGATAGGAGTTGTGGGGTGGGGGGAGGGTCTACTCAGAGTGGTTGAAGACAGTTGACAAACTGATTTGTTTTATAAATGAAGACTGTAGCAATGGAGTTTAAAGCCAACTTGTTAGGTCATCTGGACCCGAAGGGTCCGATGACCTATAGTCATCATGCTTCGTCCGTCGTCGTCCGCTGTGCGCCGTCCGCCGTGCGCCGTCCGTAAACTTTTCATTCAAACGACTTCTTCTCAAATACTAGAAGGTCTAGGGGGCTAATACTTGACACAGAGGATACTGGCATGGAGCTCTACCAAGTTTGTTCAAATGAATGACCTTGACCCACTTTAAAGGTCACAGGGGTCAAATATGTTAAAATCTTTAAACAACTTCTTCTCATTAACCAAAAGGCTCAGAGTGTAGATATTGGGCCTGTGACATGCTGGGATGAAGGACTACCAAGTTTGTTCAAATGAATGACCTTGAACCACTTTAAAGGTCACAGGGGTCAAATATGTTAAAATCTTTAAACAACTTCTTCTCAATAACCAAAAGGCTCAGATTGCTGATATTGTGCCTGTGGCATGCTGGGATGAAGGGCTATCAAGTTTGTTTAAATGAATGACCTTGAACAACTTTCAAGGTCACAGGGGTCAAATATGTCAAAATCTTTAAATAACTTCTTCTCAAATACTAGAAGGCCTAGGGGGCTAATACTTGGCCCATAGCATGCTGGCATGGAGCCCTACAAAGTTTGTTCAAATGAATGACCTTGGCCCACTTTCAAGGTCACAGGGGTCAAATATGTTAAAATATACAAAGGACTTCATCTCAATAAGCAAAAGTCTATGAGTGCCGATATTGGGTCTGTAGCATGCTGGGAGGAAAGGCTACCAAGTTTATTTAAATGAATGACCTTGAACAACTTTCAAGGTCGCAGGGGTCAAATATGTCAAAATCTTTAAATAACTTCTTCTCAAATACTAGAAGGCTTAGGGGGCTAATACTTGGCCCATAGCATGTTGGCATGGAGCCCTACAAAGTTTGTTCAAATGAATGACCTTGGCCCACTTTCAATGTCACAGGGGTCAAATATGTTAAAATATACAAAGGACTTCATCTCAATAAGCAAAAGTCTATGAGTGCCGATATTGGGTCTGTAGCATGCTGGGAGGAAAGGCTACCAAGTTTATTCAAATGAATAACCTCAACCCACTTTCAAGGTCACAGGGGTCAAATATGTTAAAATCTTTAAACAACTTCTTCTCATTAACCAAAAGGCTCAGAGTGTAGATATTGGGCCTGTGACATGCTGGGATGAAGGACTACCAAGTTTGTTCAAATGAATGACCTTGAACCACTTTAAAGGTCACAGGGGTCAAATATGTTAAAATCTTTAAACAACTTCTTCTCAATAACCAAAAGGCTCAGATTGCTGATATTGTGCCTGTGGCATGCTGGGATGAAGGGCTATCAAGTTTGTTTAAATGAATGACCTTGAACAACTTTCAAGGTCACAGGGGTCAAATATGTCAAAATCTTTAAATAACTTCTTCTCAAATACTAGAAGGCCTAGGGGGCTAATACTTGGCCCATAGCATGCTGGCATGGAGCCCTACAAAGTTTGTTCAAATGAATGACCTTGGCCCACTTTCAAGGTCACAGGGGTCAAATATGTTAAAATATACAAAGGACTTCATCTCAATAAGCAAAAGTCTATGAGTGCCGATATTGGGTCTGTAGCATGCTGGGAGGAAAGGCTACCAAGTTTATTTAAATGAATGACCTTGAACAACTTTCAAGGTCGCAGGGGTCAAATATGTCAAAATCTTTAAATAACTTCTTCTCAAATACTAGAAGGCTTAGGGGGCTAATACTTGGCCCATAGCATGCTGGCATGGAGCCCTACAAAGTTTGTTCAAATGAATGACCTTGGCCCACTTTCAATGTCACAGGGGTCAAATATGTTAAAATATACAAAGGACTTCATCTCAATAAGCAAAAGTCTATGAGTGCCGATATTGGGTCTGTAGCATGCTGGGAGGAAAGGCTACCAAGTTTATTCAAATGAATAACCTCAACCCACTTTCAAGGTCACAGGGGTCAAATATGTTAAAATCTTTAAACAACTTCTTCTCATTAACCAAAAGGCTCAGAGTGTAGATATTGGGCCTGTGACATGCTGGGATGAAGGACTACCAAGTTTGTTCAAATGAATGACCTTGACCCACTTTAAAGGTCACAGGGGTCAAATATGTTAAAATCTTTAAACAACTTCTTCTCAATAACCAAAAGGCTCAGATTGCTGATATTGTGCCTGTGGCATGCTGGGATGAAGGGCTATCAAGTTTGTTTAAATGAATGACCTTGAACAACTTTCAAGGTCACAGGGGTCAAATATGTCAAAATCTTTAAATAACTTCTTCTCAAATACTAGAAGGCCTAGGGGGCTAATACTTGGCCCATAGCATGCTGGCATGGAGCCCTACAAAGTTTGTTCAAATGAATGACCTTGGCCCACTTTCAAGGTCACAGGGATCAAATATGTTAAAATATACAAAGGACTTCATCTCAATAAGCAAAAGTCTATGAGTGCCGATATTGGGTCTGTAGCATGCTGGGAGGAAAGGTTACCAAGTTTATTTAAATGAATGACCTTGAACAACTTTCAAGGTCGCAGGGGTCAAATATGTCAAAATCTTTAAATAACTTCTTCTCAAATACTAGAAGGCCTAGGGGGCTAATACTTGGCCCATAGCATGCTGGCATGGAGCCCTACAAAGTTTGTTCAAATGAATGACCTTGGCCCACTTTCAAGGTCACAGGGGTCAAATATGTTAAAATATACAAAGGACTTCATCTCAATAAGCAAAAGTCTATGAGTGCCGATATTGGGTCTGTAGCATGCTGGGAGGAAAGGCTACCAAGTTTATTCAAATGAATGACCTCAACCCACTTTCAAGGTCACAGGGGTCAAATATGTTAAAATATACAAACGACTTCTTCTCAACAAGCAAAAGTCCATGAGTGCTGATATTGGGCCTGTAAGATGCTTGGAGGAGAGGCTACCAAGTTTGTTCAAATGAATGACCTCAACCCACTTTCTAGGTTTGGCTTGCTTTTTGTCAGATGACCGTTAAGGCCCATGGGCCTCTTGTTCTATCTATAGTGTTGTGACGTGGTTACAGGAATTAATGGTTAATGTTTGGACTTGAATGTATTTAATAAGATGAAGAGGAGGAAGATGAGGTTGAGGAGGAGGAAGATGATCAGGCGGACGAACTCCTGGGGGCGATGGTTGGGCCAGATGGCAAAGTCATAGAGGAAGACAAAGAAGAGAAAGAAGGGCAGATCTATGATCATCTACACCAAGTTTTCATCACAAAGAATGCAGTGTTGTGTAATGAGGTAAGGGAGACAACTCTTACTCAAGGCAAGGAGATGGCTTTACTTGGTGTCATAATAAGACTTCTGGAAGCTTTGGAACTTCTAAGAAATGTAAAAATTGGAAAATTTTTCAGTATTTTCTTGAAAAAAACATAATAAAAAGGACTATGAACAAATCTGATGGAAGGGCACTATGGTTAAATAACAAGTAGCTTAATAAGCTTGATTAGTCAAATACGGTTAAGAGTTATCCAATGGCAAAAATGGTTTATACTGTATTTTCTCAATTTTTTCATGCGAGTCTGGGGTGCAGCTTTTATACAGGAACAGCTAATATGTGTACAAGAAACAAAATCAGAAGGATAAAAAAAAACTAACAAAAAGTAGGAAAGGACACCAGTAAACCAAAACAAGACACTACTGACGGTTTTTTAAGTCATCTGAGCCGAAGGGTCATGATGACCTATAGTCATTGTGCTTTGTTCGTTGTCGTCCACCCTGTACCTTCTGCAGTGCACCGTGTGTAAACTTTTGACATTAAAAATTCTTCTCAAGTTTCAACAGTGTTATTGACCGGAAATGCTACTGAGACGGTCCTGACCAAATGTTGTTATTTTTTCGTTATTTCTGAAATACAAGATGGCCACCATGACTGCCATCTTGAAAAAACATATTTTAAACTTCTTCTCCAGTTCCACTGATACCATTGAGCTAAAAATTGGTGGGAATGTTAAGGAAAGGTAGCCAACAAAGTGTTTGTAATTGTTTGACCTTGTCAAAACTTCAGTTGACAAACCTGAAATGTCAAAAGATGATATCAGTACCCCATCCGATTTTAGAAAATTTGTAAACTAAAAACTTCAGGAGGTTTATCTTAAAGCATTAACTACTACAAAAAACGGAGTATAACATATTAGGCAAAACCAGTTAGCACTGCTACACTGTAGTTATGGAAATATTTCTTTTGAATTTTTTCTTGACTTTAAGGCTAGGAAATAATCATAGCAATTTATATTATTTCCTTCAACCTGTCAGATTTCAAATAGGGGGAAAATACTGGCAAAAATCACCAGATGGTCACAGGTAGCCATGCTTTATACATTCATTATGCGTCAAAGTGATAAGTTACGATACATACCTACTGGCACCAACATGAATCTTGGTGGTCTTGGTGGATGATAGTTATGAATAATTGTAGTAAAACTGAAGACATGTCATTTTGAGAGCCATTCTTGTTGTATATGTTTATTTTGTTTAACATTTATATTGATTCTGAATTTTATTTTGCTTAACAAGGTTCAAAAGAACTTCCGTGAGCTGAGCCATGCTTGTTCTATAGCCAAGGATCATGTTGAGACAGAAGACCAGGTGTTGCCACCACGTCTGCAGGACGTTGATGATTACCGTTACCCACTCTTCATTACCTCTAAACAGTTGTTACTGATGCTGGATGCGTCTTTAGGACAGCCTCACTTCTTTGAGCGGGGGGAGGATGGTGGACTGAAAGTTGATGTCCAGGGCTGGACAGATGGCGAGGGAACACTCAGCATACTTCCTCTCTTAGCTGAAGAATCAGACGATGAGGATGAAGACGATGGACAGTTTGATGATACAGAGGATGATGACAATCAACTTCAGGCAGCTGTCAATAAAGTCAAAGTTGATCCTCGGAGGGAAGTTACCTATGATGTCTTCAGCGAGGAAATCTGGCCAAAGATTTGTAAAAAGTTTGCCGGGAAATACCACCCTTCCCTGGTGTGGACCGAGATCATGTCTTTTATTAAGGGCTCTTTTGAAGCCCTTTCTAAACCTTCAGGCATTCTACAGATGGAAGAGTACTTTGAACTTGGGAAGAAAAGAGCTCCCAATTTTTCTGGCAAGCGTGCAGACATCTATGATATTTTCAAAAGATACAATCATTTCAAGAAACAGAAATTCCTGTTTGATGAAACTGACTTGGTTCGGTCAGTTTACAATCGTTTGAAGCAGGAGACAGAGGTCTCCTGGGTAATCCACCAAGTGTTTGTTGATGAAACCCAGGACTTCACACAAGCTGAGCTCTGTCTGCTTCTGAGAATCTGCCAGGATCCAAACCAGATGTTCCTCACGGGTGACACAGCACAGAGCATCATGCGTGGGATTGCATTCCGCTTCAGTGATCTCAAGTCCATTTTCTTCTATGCTAAACAGTCCCTGCAGGCCCTTGGCAAAGTGTCAAATATTGAAGTCCCAAAGCGTGTGCACCAACTGACTCACAATTACAGATCTCATGCTGGTATTCTCTTCCTAGCCTCTAGCATCCTTGACCTGATGGTCCGTTTCTTCCCCGAATCCTTCGACAGGCTGCAAAAGGACCAGGGTCTGTTTAACGGGCCGCAGCCAGTGTTGTTGGAGTCCTGTAGCTTCAGTGATCTTGCCATGCTGTTACGAGGGAGCCGTCGGAAGACTTCACACATTGAGTTTGGTGCACATCAGGCAATTCTGGTGGTTGATGAAGCAGCTAGGGACAATATCCCTGAGGAGCTACAGCTGGGCCTTATTCTCACCATCTATGAAGCCAAGGGTCTCGAGTTCGACGATATTCTATTGTACAACTTCTTCAAGGACTCACAGGTATGGATTTGAGCACTTTTCAAAACTTATTGAGAGGTTGCACCGAAAAACATGGTTAAGAATTAGGTGACATTTTACTCTAGATTTATACACCATATACTGATATTAAAAACTGATTTAAGATATTCAACTTAAAATATTGAGCCTTGATCTCTTTTCATTGGCTGATGATTCAACCTCCAATTCAGATAAATCTTTAATTTTAGCGTTTAATTTTCTTATCCAGGCTAACAAAGAATGGAGGGTTATCACAAAGTATTTGGAAGAGCTAGCCATTGGGACACAGGGAGCCAAGGGAGGTAGTTTGCCATCACATCAGGAGAGCCTGGTAGAAATTGATGCTGGTGAGAGATAATTAAAGTAGTTTTGCACTAATACTCTGTACTGTACATTGAAGTTTGTACTGTTGGGCAAGATTTTAGAGAACTACATTATTTTGGACACATTTAATTCGTTGTATTTTGATAGTTATATATGATTTTGTATTCAGTTTTGCTGAATTCTAATACCAGAAACAGAGCTTTGGAAAATGAGAAGTTCATTTTCAACCTTCTAGATAAGCACAGAATTTCAAGGATGCTTTAAAGATATTTCAGTAGATATTTGTGTAATTGAATTTCCTTTGTAGAGGTACTTCAGCAGACAAACCGACCAAGGGCATTAGAATTTGATGCAAGTCTACACAAAGTGCTCAACTCGGAGCTTAAACATTTGTACACAGCAGTGACTCGTGCACGTGTCAATGTGTGGATATTTGATGAGGACCAGGAAAAGCGAGCTCCCATGTTTGAGTACTTCAAGGCTCGAAAGCTTGTCAAGATCCTCAACAGTACAGATGTTGATGAAGGTACTTGTTTTCAGATTTCTATCGTCTTTTAAGCAACAGCTTGTAGCTGAAGACACCATCTATACTCCTGTATGATTCTCCTGTGATCTCCTGTGATCATTCTCAGGTGTATCTAATGGCAAAAAGTGCATTTATTTACTTCAAGAACTACTACGTCAGGGAAATAAACATTATTACAGGACATCAATCTAGCATTTGTTGGTTTGTCTTCTGAAACTATATTAGGTAGGCTTATTACACAGCACAGGCTTACCGCCCCAAAAATATGGTACATGAAAATGAAAGAAAACTGTCAATTTATACAAAATGTGATGCAAAAGACTATAGAGCATAGCCCTCTTTCTGTCAGTATCCTTCTTCTGTCAACCTGTAGGCAGCTAGGTGACAGCCCTTCAAAATCAACATTGACAGGTTGCATTAAAAAGTCACCAATGAAAAAATACCTTATAATCAAATGTATTGTATAGTTATCAAATCTTTATTTAGATAATGTTCCTGGTTATGTTTTGACAGAATTTTGATGATGGATCCAAAATTTGGTTTCCAAATTTTCAAACTCTGATCAAATGTGAAGATATATCAGATGATTCTGTTGGATTTATTTTTTTTACCGTGTTTTGTTAACGTTGGGTTGGCCTGACAAACTCAGGTGAGTTGGAAACACTGCCATGTGCATTGTATTTTGTTAATCTTAATTCCATGATTTCTCCAGAATGATGAGTTGTGATACCTGGCATGGCCATGATGTGCTTTGTTGCAATGAAAGTTTTGGTTGTGATTCAAGAAAGACAGTCTTTATCTCTTGAGCCTTTGGTTCGTGGTTGATAGGTTTATGTGGGATGGTCACCAGGTACTTGCCTTAAGTCAGTGTTTTTAGGCTAAACGTACTTAGTACGCATAGCCTATTGCGACGGCCTTTCAGACAAAATTTACCGATCCTGGCCTTCTCATTGGCTGAAATATCGAAAAGAGTTAGAGCCCTCTAGCGGCAATTTTCTGCGTAAATAATGCCGCGATCTTTCATTTCTCTTGGAACTCTGACTTTCCTCCACCAGCCAAACCTTGCACATCCTTAAATGACCCGGACTGTTAATGAGACAAAGCAAAAAAGTTTTTAAAAATTCTATATATTAATGCTAAATCAGTTTATGAAGAAGTCTGACATGCCCAGATAAAAAATAACAGTTTTACCTTTTAACCTGTAGAGAGTTCAGAGAGCATTGGTGGCATGTTTGCGGAGGAATCAAGTCCAGAAGACTGGATTCGACGAGGCGATGACTTCATGAAGCATGCTTTGTATGAAGTTGCTGCAAAGTGCTACATCAGAGGAGGAAACCGCCACTTACATAAAGTGGCCCAAGCTCATCAACAAGCTTTGAAGGCCTCACGCACGAAGGACAGTCACCAACGCATGAGAGATGAGTTTCTGTTTGCTGCAGAAATGTTTCTGGACTGTGATATGGCACAACAGGCAGCCAAGTGTCTACAGAATGCTCGCGAGAGGGAATTGGTTGCTCATTTGTTCAAGAAGATTGGCTGGGTTAGTATGATGGATAGAAGTTACATGTAGAATGGTTGATTACATTTATAGTAGATAAATTACGTTGTATTAAATACATGTACAATTTCAAAGTAGAAACACTGTGTATATAATGGTTCTTTATTTCATCAGCTTTTAGTGGTCATCAGTAAAAGTTAAAGTCATGCTCACATCCTATTATCTTTTCTAATTTGAAAGAGGGAAGAATAAGGAAGTCAAAAATGAAATATGGCTTCACAATGCCTGTAGCAGAATGCATGTGTATAAGTCATCTCAGGAACCTTGGTTATAATTCACATCAAAAGATCATGTCAGCTCTACATATGATGAGATTTATTAGGCCATCTGACCCAAAGGGTCATGATGACCTATAGTCATTGTGTTTCATCGTGCACCATGCATAAACTTTCGATTCAAAAGATACAATAACTAAAAGGCCCAGGGTGATGATATCGGGCCTGTAGAATGAATAACCTTGAGATACAAGATACAAGGGTCAAATATGCAAAAATCTTTTAAACAACTACTTCTCAATAACCAAAAGGCCCAAGGTACTAAAATTGTGCTTGTAGCATGCTAGGCTGAAGTGCTACCGAGTTTGTCAGGTCATTTTACGCAAATGGTTGGGATGACCTATACCCATTGTGTTTTGTCCGTTGTGCACCGTCCACCATACGAAACTTTCCATGACTTCTTCTCAATAACCAAAAGGCCCAGGGTACTGAAATTGTGCTTGTAGCATGGTGGGATGAAGTGCTACTAAGTTTGATAGGTCATATGACCAGAAAGGTTGGGGTGACCTATAACCATCATGTTCACCTGTCATTGTGCACAGTCTGCTGTGTGTAAACTTTCCATTTAAATGATTTATTCTCAATGACCAAAAGGCCTAGGTTAGTGATATTGAGCTTATTGCATTGTTGGGTGAATAGCTACCATGTTTGTATCGTGTGTCTTCCGTCATCATTGTCCACTGTCTGCCGTGCGTCGTGTGTTCATTTTCAAATGAATTCTTCACAATAACCTGTCAGGTCAGATGACTTAAGCCATTGTGTTTCGTCTGTCGTTGTCTGTAGTGTGTCATACGTAAACTTTCCATTCAAGTGACTGCTTTTCAATAACTGAAAGGACAAGGGTTCTTATATTGTGCTGATAGCTTGATGGGATAAAGGGCTGTCAACTTTGTTAATATGAATGACCTTGACTTTTTAGTGATCACAGGGGTCAAACATGTTAAAAGCTTTTAAGACTTCTTCTCAATAACCAAAAGGCCCAGGCTGCTAATATTGGGCCTGTAGCATGCTAGTATGAAGGATCCTATTACTGACCTTGACCTACACTCAAGGTCAAAGTTGTTAGATATGTTAAAATCTTTAAACAACATCTTTTCAATAACCCAAAGGTCAATGGTAGTGTTTTTGGCCTTTAGCATGCTGGGATGAAGGGCTACCAAGATTGTTCACCTTGACCTACAATGGTTAAATAAGTTGAAATGCATAAGCAACTTCTCTATAACCTAAAGGCCAAGGTTCTTAATATTGGGCATATAGCATGCTTTTTTTAACAACCAATACATTTGAAGTAATTGCATTTGTGTAGTGCATGTATAAAGAAAATGTTTTTAAGTTTGCAGAAAATGCCTTCTTTGTAAGCTGTAGTGTAGTTGAGCAATTTATTTTAGATCTGTTTAGCCTCTTTCATACTTAGTTCTTTATAGTCAGATGACCCTTAAGGCCTATGGATCTCTTGTAATTGGTAAAGGGTCAAAGGCCCCACTCCCAATTAGGGGAGGGTCGGATGTTATTAGGAAATGTTGCTCATCTAATGAGTTCTCTGAATCATTTCAGCTTGAGAGAGCAGGAGAAACGTACAGAAAGATAAGTCGACCTATTGAAGGAAGTCGCTGTTACGAACAATTGGGACATTTCAACCTGGCAATTGAAACACTCTGCGAGAACGAGTACTATGATATGGCTATAGATACACTGTGGAGATACAGCAAACTCCTACAGGTAAGTAGACCAACAGATACACTGTGGAGATACAGCAAACTCCTACAGGTAAGTAGACCAACAGATACACTGTGGAGATACAGCAAACTCCTACAGGTAAGTAGGCCAACAGATACACTGTGGAGATACAGCAAACTCCTACAGGTAAGTAGACCAACAGATACACTGTGGAGATACAGCAAACTCCTACAGGTAAGTAGGCCAACAGATACACTGTGGAGATACAGCAAACTCCTACAGGTAAGTAGGCCAGCAGATACAGCAAACTCCTACAGGTAAGTAGGCCAACAGATACACTGTGGAGATACAGCAAACTCCTACAGGTAAGTAGGCCAACAGATACACTGTGGAGATACAGCAAACTCCTACAGGTAAGTAGGCCAACAGATACACTGTGGAGATACAGCAAACTCCTACAGGTAAGTAGGCCAATTTGTAGTATCAACAGATGATGAACTGATCAAATTGCTCTTTGCCTGTTGTCCATTCATCCAAAAAAGTTTTCAAAAGTTGTTAAAGATGTTTCTTTAGAAGTACAAGATGAATCCGTTGTAGGTCCCTACATTTGTCTATTTCTTGAAGTATTTGACGGCTCTTTCTCGAATTTCTGACGTAGGTGACCTTTTGTCTGTAATTGTGCTCTTTTGATTTTGGAAATGCAAAATTGCCAAATTAATAGCAAAAACAAAATCTCCTGCAATGACAGCATTAGATTGTTAACAAAAGATACATCGAAAAAAAAGATTAGTAACAAAAATTATGCCATTTACCATAATTTCTGCAAAAGTCGTGTTCAGGATACAGTATTTGTAAACATTTCATCAGGTGTAGGTAGGGTTATTACCTTGCAAGGACTTGATGCTGAATGAGCTAAGTATCATAGCTGGCTGTAGCTGCTGAAAACCTCAAATAGTGATAAAAGGAGTGACTTTGATTGGCTGCTTACTTGGTTGGTTACAGGATTACCATCCCTGTAACTCCATTATTGATTGGCATTGTCTCACAAACCTCAGGGTTCTGGTGACATAAGTCGTCTAAGTTCCTTTCCTTACTTATACAGATTTCAATTATTGATATGATCCAGAATCCAACGGGAAGACGGTGTCGGCTGTTATGATTTCATACATGTTAAGATTTCAGTAATTGAAAGGAAACTTCCTGCTGTGCAGGCATGGAAATAGGGTTCTTTAATCGCATGATGTTTTGAGTTTTAACCTCTAATTGATAGGCTCTACGATCTAAAGGGGAGTCTGTTCCTGCGGTATTGTTGGACCATGCTCCAGGTGCACGGCGTACACGAGAACAACTTAGTCATATGGCTGCCGAGTTTCACCATCGAAATGGAAATGAAGTTAGGATGATGGTAAACTTGGAGCGCTTGGAGCATCTTAGTGACCGTGTCAATTTCCTTAAAAAGAAAGGCTACTTTGATCAAGCCGGAGCTCTCCTGCAAAAGGAAGGTCTGTTGTTTATTGTTTGTTGTTTCGTGTCCATAGAAAGTCGTAAAATGATGACATGACAGTTAAGGATGAATTTAAAGTACATCTGGGGTGACCACTAAAATATATACATTTACAGTATAATACGAATAAAACTTTTTGTCAGACCTCATCATGGTTTAATTTTACAAAAAAATTACAAGTTAGCCGGACATCATGATCAGTATCTGACATAAGTGGTAACTAATTTAACAAGTATTATCTGAATTCCGCTACTCTACTGTATTTATCTGGTAATAAACCTATAACTGGGTACTTCATAAAATTACAAATGCTATTTCACTATCAGATTATAAGACCACGCTCCAAGTGGGACATTAATAATTAGCTTATAGAGGACAAATATGTGATTTATATTGACATCATGTTGTTATAGGGTATTTAGAAATATTTCTGGTTTTGTTTATCAATTTGATTGGCACTATCTGTAATTTGATTTTTAGGGAAGTACGTTGATGCCACTCAGCTTTATCTTCTCCATGGGAAGACAATAGAAGCTGTAGCAACTGCAAGACAATCTACACACAAAGATCTGATTGGGGAATGTCTTATCCTAGCTGCTCAGGTGAGGTTGCGTAAGAAGTCAGAAAATCAACTTACAGATGAAGAACAGCAAACACAAACAGATGATGTTCTCCAAATACTTCAAGAAGCCATTGATATCCTGCTTCTAACTTCAAATCAAGAGCTGCGTGGTGAAGCCTGCTTCTTGAAAGGGGAGATAACTAATGAGGTCACAGACATCAATGAATCTTGGGGCGCTTTCAACAAGTGCAATCCAAGATGTGAAGCAGGACAGCTAGAATGTATGGACTGGATGGTGCGAAACTCTGATCTTCATAGCAAACAAAACCTGTCACAAGTGGTAAAAGGTATGGAGAATCTGTTTAGAGTACTCAATCTTCTAGTATCCTCTGATAAAGCTGGCGGAGATCGTATATTCAGATACTATGGATTGAAACCAGTGTCAGATGAATTCCTGAAAATGTACCCGCAACAAAAGCCACGTGCCTTGCTTATCTTGAAAGGCTGCCTGAGAAAAGCAGACCGTAAGAAGACTGAATGTGAAATTGCCAGAAGTGTAGCACGGGATGAAATTTGTCGTTTCTTGCTGGAGCGTGGTCATTACTGGTATGGGGAGGTAACCCTAGCTTTAAACAGGCTAAAGAAGGAACATGAGCAATGTCGACAGTTCACGCTGGGTCTGAAATGCACCAAAAATGCAGATGGTGGCAAATGTTCTGCCCAACACAATATCATGACAGATAAAGCGCTGAAAAGCTTACTTGACATCGATCTGCTTCATCTAGAGATGGATTGGTATGTACAACAAGGCTGTGGTCGTCTTCTGAAGGACATCAACACTGACCTTATTGACATGGTAAATGTCTTCCTCCCTGATACCAAACATGATCACCTGGCTCGTTTCAAATCCTGTGAGGTCCTGCTTAATCACTTGATGCCTCGTGAACGTTTTCCATTTAGGATGACAGAAAAAACTCTTCAAGCTAGCAGACTGCATGATTATGTCTGTAAAATTTTCAACTTTAAAACTAGGTCATCAAGAGACCGAAAATATCTTAAAGAGCAAATGGTTTGTTACTTGAAAGCCAAATACAATTTCATGAAGACCAAGGAGAGGAAAACAAACACAGATGTTTTTGTGAAGTTGTACTTCCTTGTAAATTATTTCCAGCTAACAAGTGTTGAAACCAGCAAACTGATGATGGAGTTTGAGACTGAGGTTCGTGAAGAAGAAATTAGGAAGAACCCATCCAAGATCAAGAAGCGATTGGAACCTATGGGATTTCTTGTTGATGACAAACAGTCACAAAACGTGTCCGTCCAATGTGTGGCAAGAAGATTCTGTGAGGCCTATTACCAACTGACTATCCCAAGTGATCCTCTTGAGGCTCTGATCAAATTTACAAAGTTCATTGTGATCCTAGGAGATCGCAACAAAACTGCAATACTTCCAGAGTTCTCTGACTTTCTGATGTGGACTGAATACTTCACAACAGTGGCTGTTTGCTTTGGAGCAAAAAACAATAAAGTTACAAATGTTTTCTTCCTCCCTGCATCTTATCTTAGCCTTGTTAACTTCATTGACACCAGCTTCAAGACCAACGGACAACCAACATTTGAGATCATACAGCAACACAGATCGTCTTGGGTTAAAAATCTTTCCCTCAGTCAGGATCGAGCTGAAAGAATCATTGGAGTACTATGTGGGTCAGAAATCAGATTGAATTTAATCCGACACTTATTCAAGCTGCGTGAGGACCGTCGGATGGACTTTGGACTAGCTGAGAGGCTGTTGGTTTTGTGCATGACAATCCTGTGTAACATGGGAAAGGCCTTGTTTGCCAACAAGGAGGCAGACCTGATGGAGCAGTTGTGTCTGATTGCTCTGCCAGATGATTGTCCCCCACGCCTGGTGAAAGCGGTGCGTGCTGTGCAGGAGGCAGGTGGACTCTCAGACATTGCTGCAGCACTGAAAGAACTTCTTTATGATCGAGATCAGGAACATGTTTGTCATTGTTCGTGGTCTGCCACGGACCGTTTTGGATGCAAATCCTCTCCACTTCAGAAGTTGTCGATTTTCCGATCAACGTTTTTTGATCCAAATACAAGGAAAAAGATGACAAATCCTGGTCATGACAAAGTGACCACAGAAGAAGATGAGGATGCTGGAAGAAGCTCTCTTGCAGAACTTGACACAGACATGACCATTGAAGAGAAATATAAGTGGGAGAATGAACAGAAAATGTATGAAGAGGATCAAAAGAAGAAAAATGCTGCCTTTGTCATAACCAGCTTCTTCAAACAAATTCGCTTTCGCAGACAATGTTCTATCCTTTCTATTCTTGTAGTAGAGGAACTGCAGAAAGAACTGAGTGAAAAACGTCTGAAGAAGTTTCAGCAGTTTGGTATAGATGAACAAGCTTGTACAATCTGTAATGTTATGTTTGACAAACCAGCAGGCAATCTGATAGAGGGTCAAAGCTATGCAGCCACTGTCTCCTCCTCTTTCAATGCAAGCCCTGGTAGTGACCTGACTCCAAAACCCTCTTTCGCATCCTCAATGAATCCCTTCACTGCTTTATTCAGTAACAATGAACAGGACACCAGTATTGAGGAGGTGCAACAAGTTTCTGAGATGTTACAGGATACCAGTGAAAACGTCAATGAATCAGGTGACAATGCGACAGAAGAAACTGCTGAGTCTTGGAGAGCAAAGAAGAAGCTGCAACATGAGCATAGTCTAATACACGAGCGTAACATGACAGACTTCAAACAATTCAAAGTGACCTACAAAACACAGATAGCAGCAAAGGAGGAAGAGATCTTAGAATTTATCAGGAAACACGACCTCCGCACCGAAGGACTGAAGAACTATCCTGATATGACGTTGGATTTGACCAGGCTAGTCGACAAATCAGACATGACTCAAAATGAGTTTGATAGGATCCTAGCTAAGAGAGATTGGGGAAATTCTGCTTTACTGATCCAATTTTTCCATGAAGCCAATGCTTATTTCCTTGGAGTTCAAAGTTATGTGGAAGAGAAGTGGAAAGAACAACAAGAGGTAGGCATGCTTTCTATTCCACAGAGCATTGCTTTTCTATTCTTTAAATCTAACTAACCAGGAAAGTTACAGTGAATGTGATATTGATTTGCACCAAATAATGGAAATATGAAGACCTTATCAATGACAAGGTATCACAGTTTGTTTGCAATAAATGAAAGAAATTGGTCAGAATTCAGGATCATAATTGATGTATCGATATTAAATCCTTTTCTTTTGTACAATTGCTTACAGATAAAGGAAAGAAGATCAGAAAGTTCAAAGGCTCGTAACAGTCAGGCCCTCCATGATGAAAATTTGGATGAAGAAATCCAGCAACTGGAAGATGTTGTTCAGGAGCCTGTCCGTCAGAGAGAGAAGAAAGGAAAGGGGCGGGGCAGAGGAAGGGGTAGAACAAAACAGAGGCAACAAGAAGACTGAAACAGGGGAATTGTGTCAGAAGGGGTGGGGCAGAGAAATATAGGCAAGAAGAGGACTGAAATTGGAGAATCATGTCCAACGAGGCAGGACAGAGAGAGATAAAGGCACCAAAAGACTGAACAAGGGAATTAGGTATAATTAGAAATGGGTAGGGTAAGTATAGCAAGAGTCAATGCTGAAACTATTGAGATTGGTAGAATGAAGATGTACTAATGAGTAGATAAATATTCTCTAGACTAGACTAAGTCTGGGTGCCTAAATAAAGGAACAACCATTGCAGAATTGGCTTGGCCTCCATAGGAGATAGGAAAGGGACAGTTCCACATCAGAGTAATGAATAGCCTAGGTGAATGTTGGGTGCTCGAATTATTGTAAAGGAGGGCAAGGGGGATTAAAGCCTAACAAAAGTGTGTAACAAAAGCTCCAAGATAGTGACAGGACAAGTGAAGTAAACAGTAGAGACAGAAAGAATTAAAGACATAACATGCTGTAACTGTGGCAACAGAAATGCATCTTGATTTTGAAATAATGTAAACAGTTTGGAATTGTTATAAAAATAATGTCTTACGAGAAATGTATGAAGAAGTAAATTTGTAAAGGTGATTGATGAAAAGAGCGACTTAAAAAGTCCTAAGTGAAGTCATTTTCCACCTGAGATAAATTTTCATGGTTTAACTGTTTAACAGTCCCAGTGTCATTTTATGGTTTCAGAAACCATCACTCACTAGCAGTAACCATTCATATGTTCATTTGTTCTGTTATTCACAGTTATCATTTCTTAATCATGTTTCCGATTTCAAAAATAATTAAAAAGTCATGTTATAAAGTAAAACTTTACCAGAATAATTCATATTGTGTATTCCATGAAGTGTATATAGTCCTTATATTTGCTTTGCATTACCATATTTGGAAAGTATTTCCTGTGAAAAATGTGGGGAATTTTTATTGTCATTTAGTCTTGGTTCAGAAATCAGGCTTTGATGTAGCTTCTTGTGTTGATGTTTGTCAATATAATCTATAATTTAATGAAGTTGAAGATAACAACAGATTTTCTGTACTTCTAGCACCTCTTTTGTTTTCGAATAAGCAGGTTGGGTAATACGCCCAGTATTACATAGAATTTCAAAGTAATATATTTTTCAGAAAAATAGTGACTTTCAAGAACATGTTTACATTACACAGCCTAGCAACCCTTTCCTCTGTCAAACAGATTAAAGAGTTGCTCTGTCCTTTCTGGCTTTGTAGACTAGTAATTTGTTAAACAACTTATGTGAAAGAGCAACAATCATAAAGGTTTTTGAAAGATATTGCAATTTTGATGTTATATGATTTGTTATGATTTGTACCAGATTTATATACACTGTATATGACAGTATCATGATGCGTCCGTCGCTTTTCTCTTTTTATTTTTTTCCTGGTAAATGGAGTCCATTGATGCCAGCTCCAGCAATATGTTGCCTTTTGTTATTTGAAACTAATCCCATGCATATTTAAGTGACATTACTTTCACTTCCAACTAGTCCCATAACATATATCCTGTTACGCTTTTTACTTTGTGTTGGCAATCTATTTCTTTTTTGGTGCATAAATAAAATGTCTCACTTTTTATGATATATATATACAAAACTGAAGTGCCATACTTGAAGGGAAATGATACATTTGTAAACAAATGCACATTTTTCCCTCATCTCCCTAATCGAATTGTAAGGCTTAAGATTCAACATTTCCTAGTTGTTATTGAACGATTCATTAAGTGTTGTCACGTGGCCATATTTCTTATACAATGACAAAAACAGTGATTGACAGCTCGTTGAATGACGTTGTAGAAATCCATGATCAAGTTACGAATCTTACACATGCTACACCTACTTAACTAGCATCAACTTATGTAAACAATTATCGAAATAATTGACATTCCAATGTTTTTCTACCTTTTTGAAAAGAAACCACTGTTTGATAAATGCTCTTGATTTGAATTTAGATTTTTTTCCATTGTTATTATGTGTTGCTTTATTTAACAGTTTTTGTTGACTTTTGTCTGATTTTGATATATATTCCTACATAAACTGGATATCTTGGGAATCCATTCACTATGCAAGTACTATAAAGGCTCTTTGGTGAGAATCAGACTTCTTCTGTATGGCAAACATTGTTTAAAATATTGAGAAGACAGTTTAGGAGGATAGTATCCAGTGGTGTCCAGTTCATTTTACACGGTTATATCGGAATGACTTCCAAAGCATGATACGGTCAAACAATTTGGTGTCTTTCAGTTATGCGAGAACATGTTCTGTGATTATTATGATCTTCCAAATATATTTTTTCACAAAAACTAATCCATTGTATTATTGTCACAATTGTGTTTTATTTCGTTTTTGGAAGGGACAATCAATAGTATTTCCAATTAATGATTGTTTCTCAATATGTTTGGATTTTTTAAATCATTTTTGTGGTAGAGGTCTTACCACAGACTTATATGAATTTCCCATCATTGGATAGTGGGTTGTTCAAATCGTAGTGCACCCGATCTGTCGTCAATTCATGAACAATTCTTGGTATGACTGTTTCTTAAGAAATATTGGATGGAGTGTTCTTAAAGTTTATATTAAGTCTCTCCTAAATTGATTCTAAATTCTAAACTGATAAAAAACAAAATGGTTGACAGGTGTTCATCTTTGATTTTTTAATAAAAGATTGTTATCGCTATATATATTGGACGGATCTTTCTCCTATTTGATAAGTAGGGTTCGCCTAGTCCATTGTGCTCTTTTGGTTTTGAGACTGTACATAAAAACAAATTCACAAACTGGTGATCATCTTGGATTTTTTCTATATATAATAGTCAAATATTATTCAAATTTCATTTAATCACAAGAGATGAAAAGGATCACAGCAAATAAAGAGGAAAGATGGAGAAAGATACAACCTTAAAACATGCCGATACGAAAAGAAAAATAAAAAAAATTGCACTAAGATCCATGCGAAATCTTTTGTATCACTTTTGTCTGTTGTGTATTCATTATTATAGTTTTGTTTTAGAGTTTATCAAGTATGTTGTATCTCTTGATATTTTGTAATTGACTTGGATGGAAATTGAAAATAAGATTTGCTTTTTTTTATTACTTTGCTGATTTCTATGAAGCATGATGGATAGTAACAGAACGGATAGATTCCTTTTCATTTTAGTATAAATCTGATGTAATGTTCTGTCAGGCGACGATGAATTAGTGACTAATATTCACCTGTATGTAGGCTTCATTTGTCTTTCGTGGATTGTTGATTTCAATATGTGCTTTAAAAATAAATTTGATATATTTTGTTGAATAAAAGATGTTTCATGTTTTCTGTAAAGTGTGTTTATCATTTAGGAGATGGTGAACTACTCATGATTGTCCCTGGGCAGTCTGTCCTGAAGTTAAAGAACAAGACATTTCTTCCCTCAGCTACTCCTTGGGGCGGATGTCCTGTCGTCCATCTGTAAACAATTTTTGTTATCACTATTTCTTGAGAAATACTAGACAAATCTTCAAATTTCATTCGTATATTTCTTTTGGTCCCATGTTCCCGTTTGATTTGGGGACCGAGCAGTAAAAACAAAATGGCTAACGGGAGGCCATATTGGATTTAGCAGTCAAAGAATATCGCTCTTTTAAAATTTCTTATAATTAAGAACAAAAACAGAATAGAAGGGAATGTTTTAAAGAAGATAACATGAAACAATGGTAGATGCAAGGTTAAATCCCTAAGGGATCTCTGTTGTTCAGTAGTGAAAATTATTAATTTCACACAAACACATTGAAAGTATTGGACAACCCAGACGAGATCTTGCTGTTGTCATGACATATGTTATAAACTTCTCTGCACAAGTAAAACAAATGACTGATGATGGAGGTAAAACGACTTGTGGGACGAGATAACCCATAACGTCGTTAAAATCAATGAAAGTCGAAAAATATTGAGCAGCAGAAATGCTGAAACGGAACAGCCAACAAACAGAAATTGACTCTTCTCCAGCTAGACATCAGTTCGTAAAGGCATCCACACATGTTAGACTGTATTACCTGTAATAGTTACAACTTTTCGTCGCTAGAGGGCGCTTGTTGAAATCTATCATTGAATATTCGAAGCGGAGAGTAGAAAAAACTACGGCAGGCAATCCTGTCTAACACACATGAGAACTTAAGTTTTCTAGCCAGTTTATATTAGGGAATGATGCATTCTCAAATCTAAACTTGCGACCACATAGCTGTTTCAATTATGTGACACTCTTGAGGGGGTGTTCTCATGCCTTGTTTGTCTATGTAAGCCGTGACGCAATAAGGTCATAGTTCAATCAGTATTCAACTGACATATTCAACACAAGGTTTCAAGAGATGCAGGTCGATGAAGATGAAAAGGTCTTCCAATACATATACTTTCGGTTTTTGAAGCAATTAAATATGAACGGCTGTTCATTTAACATGTTTCTCTCCTTCACTTCAACCAAATACAGAAACGAGCGATTTGAGAATATTCACAAGCGATAAGGTACGAGAACTTTCCATGAAGGTTTTTTTATTTTATTTAAACATATCTATTTTGTCAATAAGTACAAATGGGATTTGGGCACATGTTCGCTAACTTGTATTAAGCCCTTACCAAAAAAATAAAACAATACACATATTTACAAGATGGCATGTTACATACATATATATCTATTACCTATAAACGTGTTGATGGTGTAGATGCGTCGTGGTCCCGTCATCAGGTAGATCCTCCTTCCTCGGTTGTTTCGGCGCTGTCCACGACAACCTCCAGAGGTGCGCCGACTGGGGTGATCAAGTCCCAGCCCGGAACCACTCAGCTATCCGCTAGTGACACAGGTGGCGTTTTACTTGGTGTTATTAAATGTTCATATGCCACCTCCTACGATGTTATGTCTCCGATGTTTCTCGAGATCAACAATGTTTGATCGACTTCTCCTCTCTCTTCCTCCATAGCCACAATGAAGCCATCTCAGCTTCTTTACAGAGACAGCTTATGAGCTGCCGCCTGTCTGCACCAATGATGCCTATGACCCACATAGCCCTCCACATCGACTGGCCCACAAATCCTCTGCTACCTACCTCCACTGGAAAGCACAATACTTTCCATTCTATGTGTTGGCAGTCTGCCACTAGACCCTGATACTTACTCTTCTTGTGCTCATAGGCTTCTTCCATTCTTTCTTCCCATGGCACAGTAAGTTCTACCAGGACAGCCTGTTTAGTGGACAAAGACCACATGACGATGTCTGGCCTTTGATTTGTAACTGCTACCTCTGGTGGAAACTGCATACGACCATTCAGATCTGCTTTCAGCTGCTAATTCCCTGCTGTTCCTAGTAGCCCAGTCCCTTCAACGGTCCCTCCTGTGGTAGGCTCTCCTGCCCGGACAAAGTTTACAAATTTCAGCTGTCCCTTGCCCCTTTTTGGTTTCCTCCTGCACTTTTCCAAGGCATCAGCAATGAAGGACAAAACCTTGTCATGACGCCAGGTGTATCGTCCATCTGTCAAGAAGACTGAGCAAGAAGAAAGGATGTGCTCCAAGTTAGCTGCTTGCCCGCAAAGCTTGCAGCTTGGATCGTCTGACAGCCCCCACGTTGCCAGGTTTGTTGGGCTCAGCAAGACATCGTTTTCTGACTTGGGGTTAAATTGTTGCCTCTGTGGTTCAGTATACCAAATGTTTTTCCATGTCAGCTTCCTCTGGCGGGGTCCCTCCCAGTTCATCCAACTTCATTGTTTCTTCATGCCAACCGCCTTGACCATACGAGACTGCTCTTCCATGGCTCGTACTTCCCTCTGGACCGTGTGTCTTCGGTCTACAGTTGAGGCTGGTCCCCATCTAGCTGTTGGTGTTGCTCCCAACCCTGTTCTTCCCACAGCAACACTGCCGACAATGTCTGCGCGTCTAAGACGCGACTCTGCATATTTCAGTGCCTGTGATGCCGACCACTTCTTCCCTGTTCTGTTGTTGACCTTCGCTGCTCATACCTTCTGATATTTGCTGTCTCTAAGCATGAGGAATTGTCTAACCTTGGTGACCCTAAATTCCTCTGTTATTGACTTCAGCGGCAACTGGAACTTTGTTCCTGAGCTATATAATCCCAAACTGCTGAAGCTTCGAGGGACTGATAGCCATCTCTAGAGATCTCTGCTTCCCTTGCGCTCCATCACTTCTACTTTTGTCAATGGTACGTCGTACACCAATAGAGGCCATAGTACACGAGGTATAGATCCAGGCCTTGTATTTTCCTGGCAGACCACATTTGTCTACTGACACTAGCCACTTCTCCAGCTGTTCCAATGTATCAATGGCATTCTTGGTGTCGTTCAAAGTATCATCAAAATACTTCCCCAGGCATTTGACTGGCTTCTCGGAGACTGTTGGAATGATGTCCTCTCCAATCTTGAATACCTCTCTGTATACTTTACCTTTCCTTAGTACCAAGCTCCTGGACTTTACTGGCTTGATTCTCATCCGAGCCCAGCTGATGATATCCTTTACTTCCTCGAGAGTCCATTTTACCTCCACCTCTGTCTTGGTCATGTCGTCCATGAATGCTCTCGACGGCGGTTGCCGCACACCTCCTTTCATCCATGGCCCTCTACTCATCTTCTCGACTGACTTCACCATTAGGTTCATAGCTGCTGAGAACAGGATAACTGACACAGTGCAACCTGTAACTATCCCCACCTCCAAGCGCTGCCACGATGTTGTAAAATCTCGTAGGGTGAACCTTAACTGAAGTATGTCAAAGTAATCTTCCAACAGATGTCTGGTCTTCTCGGAAACATGGTATTGCTAGAGGGTCAGTTGGACCAGCTTATGAGGCATAGACTCATATGCGTTGGCTAAATCCAACCAGATCACTGCCAGCCCTCCCTTCTGTTCCTTTGCTTCCCGAATAATCTGTGATCGGACACTTGTGTGTTCGACACATCTCGACACGCCTGGGACTCCTCCTATCTGCACCGATATGTCTATATACCTGTTGGTCAGCAAGTAGGTGGTCATCCTCTTTGCCATTTATTGCAAGGAAAATCTTCCCCTCGATGATTAGTAGGGAGTTAGTCCGAAACTGGTTGAGTAACTCAGAGTTCTCTTCTCCATAAAATTCTCAGGTACTTCCAGAATCTAACTGTCAGTCTGCTACAGTTCTTATACACTATAGGGCACTCCATTTGGCCCTGGAGATGATCCTGCCCTGGCCTTCCTGATGACTTCCCTCACTTCCTTGAGTTTCGGTTCAAACTCATCGAATGGTTGCTCCGGTTCTTCAGGACGGATTAGCTTCTCATAGTCAGGTAGATCCTCGTTTCTCATTGGTTCGCTACGCATGTCCCTCAAGTGATCCCCCACCTCTTCCTTTCCTGCTGTCAACGTTCCTGATCCTTTCTTACCCAGCAAACGTGAAGTGAACTGAAAGGCGTTGGTTGTAAATCGTGCTCTGGTCCTAACCCTTTCTTTCCTCCGTCTTCTACTCCTCTCGGCCCTTCTCAAGATTTTGAGCTTCTCTCGAGCGCTAGACCTCAGTTCTGACAATGCTGACCTTTCTTCATCGGATGCTAACCTGTATTGCCTTGCCAAATGTCTCAGATCTTTCCTCAGTTTGGCAATCTCTTGTTGTCTCCTGCTCTTATTGACTGATCTTCCCTGCTGTTTCTGTTCTTCCAGTCCAAACCTATCGAGTCCTACGTTGTATATGATAACTGACATTCCCTCTACCTTCCTGTCTACCCCTCCTGCTGATGATGCAGCCAGAATTGCATCCACGTCTTCGTCAAACTTCTTCCATTCTGCCTTGCTGTTACTTGGTGGCCACTTGATCTTTCCTTTCCTGCCGCTATGATCAGGTTCCTGTCTAGGTTGATCTATGACTGGTGCTTGTTGACCATGATCTTCCTCTAAGACCTCACTGGGTGTGTCCTCTTCATTGTCTGGCTCATGGACGCTGTAGTATATATACAGGAGATAGGGAGAGGGTGGGAGAAAGAGAGGGGAGGAGACAGGGACAGACAGAGAAGTGGGGTTAATTTAATGCACACATGACTACTTTTTAACAAATACAAGTATACATACTTATACTTAGAATGAGGACAGTCCCACTCCGACACCGACGGTAGAAGTTGACACTACACACTTTTCAAAAACTTTCGACTTATCTATTGTTCATCACAGCACTTGCTTTGATTTGCGTTCTCCTTTTCACTCCGTTCGTCCTTGGAAATACGTTTTTCTTGTGCCGTCGGCATCGGAAGGATCGTTACTTAATACAAAATTAAGACTTTTGTACTTAATTAAAACAGTTTTTAACTTAAGTTGAT